TCATGAAAAAAAAATAAAACGCGCAAAATTCTGTAGTTAAGTAAGTTCAAGTTACCAAGTCTAACCGGTTGACCTTGAAAAAATGATGCCGCACCCAACAATTGCTATTTTCTGCCAAAATCTAATGGCAAAACTTGCAGCATTAGAGTGAGGAATGGAGGCTGATATACAGTTAGAGGTACTAAACGTAAAATAAAAATAAAAGTCAAGGTAGAAATTATGTGAGGGTGTTAGAGAAAAAGAGAGATAAAGGGCAAAATAAATAAAGATTGACAGAAGAGCAGGGAGAAATCGATAGAGATGAATAAAGGAAGTAAATGTATAGAGAAGAAAAATAAATAGAAGTAAAGAGGGAGTGATCTCCTCTAAATTTTCTCGTACATTACATTTTTAAGTAAAAATTAAATTAAAATTTTCGGGGGAACGGACAATGTCAAAAGTATACATTTTCTATATAAATTCCATTTCCTTCGGGGGGGGGGGGGGGGGGCGATAGGCTTTCTTTGGGAGGGGGGGGGGGTCTTAGCGCCCCCCCCCCCCCCCCCCCCCCATCCCCGAAGAGATGCTTGGAAATCGGAAATAGCGTTCACTTAGAAATTGTTCAAAACATAACACTAACCTAACCGCAACCACAACCTCAACCACAACCGCAAACATGATTATAAACATAAACATTTCCCAATTCCAACCGTTATACCTATTGCTATAATTATCCATGTCACCAAAATTATCCTTATGCTTTATTCATTACCTTGTCACTTTCCCCTCATTTCTTATCTCTATCCTTATCCTTCTGTCTATTGTTATATCCTTCTGTCTATTGTTATAGCTATCGCTATCCCTATTCCTATGTAAGAGATATCCGTTTCCCTTTCTCTTTCCCTATCCCATTTAACTTTCCCTGTTGCTATCTTTATTTATTTCCAGATCTATTCCCTATGTCTTTTCATTTTCCCTATCGCTAAGTCTATCCCTTACCTATTCCTGTAGCTATCCCTATTCTTTTCCTTATGCCTATCGCTATCCCTAAACACATCCATTTCCTTATTTCTGTCCATTTCCCTTTTAATTTTCTATAACATCATCCCTATCGATTCCCTTATTTGCTTCCGTATCCAGTTTCCCTTTTCCATTCGCTATGAATATCCCTTACCGGTGCCCTGTCAAAACGGCCGGGGACAAATCGGCCCCGTCAAAACGGCCCCGTTAATATGACCCCGTCAAATCGACCCCTGACAAACCGACCCCGTCAAAATAACCCCATCCAAAGGGCCCCGACTTATTGGCTCCCGTCAAATGGGCTCCTGTCATATTGACTTGCGACATATAGGCTCCCGACAAATGGGCTCCCGACATTTAGGCTCCCGACAAATGGACTTCCGACATATTGGCTCCCGACAGATAGGCTCAGGACATATTGGCTCCCGACAAAGTGGCTCTCGACATATTGGCTCCCGACATAAGGGCTCACGATACATGGGCTCCCGACAAATGGACTCACGACATATTGGCTCCTGACAAATGGGCTCCCGACAGTTTGGCTCCTGACAAAAGAAATCCAGACATATTGGCTCCCTACTAAATGACTCCCGACTTATTGGCTCACTATAAAATGGCTCCGGTTAAATAACACCCGACTTAAAACACTTCCCGACAAAGAAACCGTTTTCTGAGGAGTTATCACATTTTTATCTTTAAACAGTTCGCTTTCTACAAAGTTTCGAGTATTGTAATTTTATATTAACCTGATTTAAGTGCATGTTGAGCTGTTGTTTACGCCACACAACCCAAGCTCAGCTGTTTATGTTTAAATTTAGCATGCATGTTACAAATTTTGCGTTTGTTGTCTAAGTTTTTACATGTTAATTTCAATGTATGGATGTCCACATGGACCAACCCCCCCCCCCTCCCTCCTTCCCAGTCCACGACAGTCGATGTTAATCGACACTCCACCCACCATGTTGACGTCATAAAAGGATGACAGCTAGCAAAAATGCTTTTGACAAATTGATCCCTGGACTACAAAAACAACAAACGAAGATGTTAACAATCATACTAGCTAGTATTACAAGGCGTGGGGGAGGGGGGTGGTCTATACATTATGCATGCATTTGAGCAATGTGTTAGTCTACTTTAATTAAATCGCAAGCCTAGGAAGTAGTTCATAAACGATACATTTATCTACTAGATACTTGCGAGACTAAAAAGAGGGGTGGGATGGGGGTCGGCTCGGGAAAAAACTTGAAAGAGGCAACAAAGCGTTTATGTACGTCAGCATCGCCCTTTGTAAAACTTATTCAGGAGAGATAATTCCAAGTATAGGCCCTAAAAGTTTACTATTATATTTCTTGTAAAAACAAAAAAAAAGTAACCGTATATAAAACTGAAGTTTCTAGTATTATATTATTTTTTTATTATTTGTAGGATACAAGATAGTACAGGATACAAATTCAACCACTATCACAAACACCTATTTCAAATTGAAAAATGTTTAATGAATTTCGGTTCCCTAACCAATGTCGCAAAGAAGAACCGCGCATCACGAAAGCCCACTTCATATGTAGCGGCTTCTCGTGAAATGAACTTTGTTGTTTTTTTTTAAAAGAATTTTGCCTGCGACAGCGTGTGTTTGATTGTAGGGAAATATAACTCGGCTTTGACGATGGTTAAAAAATACAACTATAAATAACTTTTTTTAATATATAAATACATTTGACGACATTTTTTGAGCCCCCTTTTTTGGTGCCCATCCCCTGCCCCATCCGCCACAGTACACTTTGGAGGATCGGTCAAACACGCCTCTATTTGGCTATCAAAGGGGGGCAACGAGTAAAAGAAGTCATATTTTTTAATAACCTGGAAGCATATTGACTGTAATTGTATCGTAGGGACCCTAACCCGGCATGTGTATAATGGGCTGCAGCATCCTACACCCCTACGTAGAAATGTAACAGATGACCACTAAACTAAAAATTAATACAGTACAAGAAATACTTTTTAAAAAAAAATTAATACATGGCGACCTAAAGCTAAGGACGCTTTGTTATCTTAGGCTTATTTCTGTAGTCCATCGAGAAATGGGTGGTGTTGACATGGGCCATTTTCATTATGTCGGGAGCCGTATTGACGAGAGCCAAAATGACGAGCCTTTTTGTCAGGAACCATATTGACGGGAGCCAATTTGACGCGAGCCTAAATAACTGGTGCCTATATGACGGGAGCCACATTGACGGGAGTCAATTTATCGAGAGTCTGAATGACCGGAGTCTTTTTGTCATGAGCCAATTTAACGGGAGCCAATTTGACGCGAACCTAAATGACGGAAGCCCTTTTATCAGGAACTTTATTGACTGGAGCCCTTTTGCTGGGAGCCCTTTTGTCTGGAGCCATTTTTGTCGTGAGCCTAATTGACTGGAGCCTAAATGACGGGAGCCTAAGTGTTATGAGCCAAATTGTCGGTAGTCGTAATGACGGGAGCCTATTTGTTAGAATCGTTATTGACGGGAGCCCTTTTGTCGTGAGCCTTATTGACGGTAGCCCTTTTGACTGCAGCCTAAATGACGGGATCCATTTGTCTATGAACCTTTTGTCGGGGTCGATTTGACGGGGTTATTTTGTCGGGGCCGTGTTGTCGGGGTTGTTTTGACGGGGCCGTTTTGTCACGGGCCGGTTTGACGCCACACGACTTAAATAACTAATGTGTATAGCAAATACACCAATCGTTATAATGAACTCAAAACAATTAATGGTGCAGTACAATTAACAAAGTAGGCCTACATGTGTAATAATTTTGAAGTTTAATAACACGTACCCAATGTCTATCGTAACTTAGTACAGTACCCATTCAAACGGACCATAATTCTACTTAAACAATGACGTATTAAACTGCGACGTATTGCAACATTAACCCATCTTGAGATTTTATTAAATGTTTCTAAAATTCTATTAATGATGATTAAAAGTAGTAATAAAATAGATAATAACAATTCAGAAAAAAAAATGAATATTTGAAAAATTGAAAAAAAATTGAAATTTCAATGAATTTGGCCTAAAGGTGCGCCACGACCTTCCTTTTGTTGTAATACTCGAGTGTGGCAAAAATAAATCGAATCGGTGCATGTGAATCGTGACCACCCACCTGCCCGCCCTCAAATATTTGCATAGGGTTTCTAAAGCAGTGCACCTAAAATTATATTCACATGTACAAATGCCTTAGAAAGACATGACTTATGTCAACTTCCTGCTATGCATGCGGTACGATCCCGAAGGAAACTTTAAACTCTATTTACTTAAAAAGTTCGGCTCGCTGTGAAATAGCTACATGGTTGTTATGCCGCCAATTTTAAAGTAAATCGTTCGTGGTTATAGTTATATAAACTTTTATGAAATTAGCACGAACTGTAAATTTAACATATTTCTTTACAACATTCTAATTTTTTTTTTTTTTTTTTTTTTTTTTTGCATCGGCAGTTGTTTTCAAGTTAGGAAGTGGACATAGTAAAAAAAAATACGGCGAAGAAAGAATTTGACGAATAATGGTATCGTTTGTTTTGGATATAACTTTAAACACAACCCCCCCGCCCCCCCCCCCCAAAAAAAAAAAACAGTATCGTCTCGCCCCACCCACCCACCCCCAACTCAACAATGTTATGGCTCTCCTAAAAAAAATTTGAAATTTAAAAATATCTGAAGAGAGGATCTGCTGTATTTATTTAGAAAGAAAAGTATGACATATTGCCATTTAGATTCAAAATGTAAATCGTTTTATTTCAAGTAAACATATTGAAATCACATTTACCTTGACGTATAGGCTACGTTATACTTAAGTGTCACGCAACCTCAATTTTTAAAATATCCTGTAACCATTTTCAGAGCTGGAATAAAACAACCCGGAAGAAATGGAAGCTATAAACGATGCGATTGGTTGACGGCAGTATAGAAAAACCACACGAATACCCTCCATTCTCAGAGTGATTTAACGATCACTAAACAAATGTTACGTCATTGACGTCATCAAGAAATATTTAAAGACCAAAAATTGTCGAAAGACTCGACTAGATTGAATATCTTTAGAAGCAGTGTTAGAGAAATTCTTCTCGAAGACGGTTTGCACTTTTTGTTTATTCCTTTTTTTTCTTCTATTTTTGTTATCTCTTTATTTATTTATCTTGAATTATTATCATACATATATCTATATATATCTATATATATCTATATATATATATATATATATATATATATATATATATATATATATATATATATATATATATATATATATATAGTGTTGCTACTGTTTCAGAAGAAAGTCTGACGCAATATTTCAAGATAATTTAATCAATGCTTTACCACTTGTGTATTTTTAGACGCGTGATCAATTTTCCGATCCTCTGACTGAATCATCTAAATGCATATTGCGTCATTCGAGGTGTTCTAAACTTGTTACTAATCATTATTTATAGAAATGTAACTTTTTCTAACAAAAACTCACGTAATACCAATTGTGTGTTTTTAGACCCGTCGCCTTGCTTTCTAAAACTGAGTTTTTAAAAATATAAACAAAGTAGGCGCTGTATGTCTTGGATGAAGGTTGTTGGGGCGCGGGTTTGTCCGCACTATTGCCCAGACACACCAGGGTGTGGTGTATGAAAAGCATTGAGTTTAAGTTAATCATCCTCCGTAATAGTGAGGTAGAACAAGCGACTACCCCAGGGCACTCTAGGGAGCCAAAGGTTAAGCCTACACTACCAAAGAGAACCGGATACAGCCCCTGGTTCCGTTTAGTCATTGAATGTCGCCACCGTTTCTCCGTTGCATGGTGCTCTTTAAAACGAATTTAGGAGCCATAGTGCTCACAGGGAACCTGAGGTGCTCCGGTCATTTAACAATGGGCGCCGGCGGACGCGCCTGATTCAGTTTAGAGAATGCTTTTAGTATCCCGTCGTGTCCATAGTTTATCGCATTCTTCAATACGACGTTGGTGTCATAGTGCTCATTGAGGAGCAGGGACAACAAATACCCCCTGTTGGGGAGCTGAAGGACGCTTCTGGTTTTTATTAAGTAAACAATTATAATAACCCATATTATGCATAGTGTATCGCACTCTTTAAAACGAACGGAGGCGCAATAATGCTCACGGGAAAGCCTGGACTCAAAATCACCCCCTGCGAGGTGGAGCAGGATCGATTCAGTCAACAAATATTGTAGCCCATAGTGTTAATGTGTAAAAAGAGTTGATAGCTTATTATTAAAACGAAATTAGGCGCTATTGAGCTCACGTGGTCGCCCAGGGCTCTCAGCGATATTCAGCCACCGGAGCGCCTGCAAAAGACCCTGATGCAGTTTTACCGTTATATCAGGTAGTACCTTTGCCCTTATGCATGAGCCTAACAAACGGATACCAAGTGCTGCAATAGCCGTTCGTGAACTCTGGGCACCAAATCACAACTGTGTTATATTTGTATATACCTTACATAGTGAAAAATCGCACACTGCCGAGGCGTCGACCCTAAAATATTTTCATTTTTTTTTTGCAGAAACCTTTCCAAGCGTATTCCGAATAACATCTCAAAATTTCATAGTGATCGGATGAACAGTGTAGTAATATATAAAGAACCAACCAACCGACAGACAGACCCACATTCTATACTTTTTATAATTTTTTTGTTTTTTTTAACTTGCTTTCTCTGCTGTGCTTTTTTCGTGAGATTTTGACCACTTCTAATTGATCGATTTGTTTCAAACTTGTCATACTGGACAAAATGTGTTCATTGTATAAATTTTACATAATTTCTCAGATAAATAAACCGGGAGTGATCTCCCCTAAACTTTCTCGAATATTCTAATATAACACTAAGTGGGATGGCAACTCGGAATATAGACATGATTTTTGTTTACTTAAACTTTTAAAAATAGAATAAAATCTAGTAGAAAAATGAATTGCGCACCAAGCGAACGCCAAAACAAAATGTGCATAATAGTGCGCAATATTATTAGTACTTTATAAATTTACATGCGTTTTTGAGAAATCGGAAATTGCGTAAATTAGTACCTCCGGTAAACGGAAATTACTCAAAATTTGAAAGAAGGTAGAGAATTAGATCTTTTACTTACATGTGAAACTTCATTTATCTATCTGAAATAGTACTCAAGTTATAGGCGTTTTGAAAAATTCAAAGTAGAAAAAGTACCACTTCCGTTTATCGGAAATCGCTCAAAAGTTGATACGGATCTACGATTTTGATATAATACCTATATATGAAATTTCATCAACCTAGCTGTAACGGTACTCAAGTTATCGTGTTTACACACAGACACACACACAGACAGACACACAGACATACGGACAAGATTGCAAAATTATTTATTTCCGTATCAGTGAGGTGTAAAACATCGAGATTTGTAAAAATGTGGACATTTTTTTTTTTTGCACGATTACAAGACTTTCTCTATACTTCGTATAAAGTAAAAAACTAATCACATAACCTGTATGTCCCAGCAGGTGAAATAAACCCCACACTGAAAATGAATTTACACACAGTGTTGTTTGTACTTGCTGCTGTCTGTTACATCCAGGCACAAGATGAAGGTCTGTTCATTTTTCAGTTAAGTATAGCTAAAATGATAACACACACATGTCTCGACACACACTATGTCTTATCTACATTCAATGTCATTCTATCCCAGGCTGTGAGAACGTCAAGATGGACATGGTCTTTGTGGTGGACTCGTCTGGAAGTATTGGAGCATCAGACTACAAGCTGGCTAAAGAGTTCATGAAAGACCTGCTCGCTGAGGCCGACATTGACAACAGCAATGTCAGGGTCGGTGTCGTCATCTTCAGTGATGTAGATACAATCCAGTTCCACTTGGATAGCTATAAAACCAAAGCTGAAATATATCAAGCCATCTCTGCCATCCCTTATATCGCAGGCAGTACCAACACTGCTGATGGTCTAAAAACAATGAGGACGACAATGTTCAGCCCTGCACACGGAGATCGTCCTAATATCCCCAACATTGCAGTGGTCATCACAGATGGTCAGTCTAATATCAACAACAACAGAACAATCCCAGAAGCTGAGGCCGCCAAAGCACAGGGTATTCAGATCTATGCTATTGGTGTTGGCGCAGGAATCACGGAAGAATTAAACAGGATCGCAAGCACGCCTGTAGATGATTTTAGATTTAAAGTTGAAAATTATTCTTTACTTAAAAGTCTGAGACAAAAATTGTTTAGCGTCATATGTAAGTATAATTAATTTTCCTATACGTCGAAAAAGTACATCAAAATGTATATTGTAATACTTTTTAAAATATGCGCAGTACCCAAGTTAAGAGGTTATACAAACCAGTGGTAGAAAAACGGAGTGTTGACGAAGAGATCTCATCTTGTTAGACTTTCCAAAAGATGGACTGAACTTAAACAACTAAACACAAGTAATTTAATTACTTAGTCGTTGACCGAGGTGTGGCATTTGATTATTGTGTGTGTTTGTGAGGGGGGGGGGGGCTGGATTTTTTTAGATACTGTGAGAATCTGGTGAAGTTAGGTAAAGATAGTTTAAAACGCGTGAAGTGGTTTATGGATTACCAATACAAACAAGCACATGTTTATTATATTAAGTACACAATAAATTCGCAAATTTAAAAAAAAAAAACACCGTTAAGATGAGCATATCAGCAACAATTTATAGTATTCAACCACAATCGAGCAAAATTAACATACGGCCATAGAGAAAACATTTTGAAAGCATTTGTCTACAGCAAATGCCAATGGTGAGTATATAGTGAGTATAACGTGACTGTGATTTGACTTACGGTTTAAACACTGTGTCCATAAAATATCAATAAGACTCCACTACACTAATCGTGATTATCGTATATCTTGTATAATAATGTTTTTCAAAATGTGATCTTGTGACTAATATAACCAGGCTCGTATGTGACAGAAGCCCCAACACCTGCACCGACAACACCTAAACCAGTTGTGATCAGTAAGTGAATTTCCTTTTGAAATGTTTTATTTTTATTCTGAATGTCAGTCACTATATTGATCAGATAGTTTGCCCTTTTAAAAAACGAAACTGGTCTATGTTCTGTGGTTGAACTACAGTGCCGCCAGACCCCGCAAAGCGCGGGGGGGGGGGGGGCCACACCGATTGGGGGGCCCAAAAATCCCGGCTAAATTATTTTTAAAAATTTAAAAAAAAATTAGGTGGAGGTCGAGTTATCTTTCTTCTACAGTTACAAACAAACACGATAGTCGGCAAACGTCTTTGAGAAAAATGCACAGACTATAGCTCGAGAGACCGCCAGACATATAGACAACTTCAAAGACGTAGCCTACCGTTCTTTTTTTGTGGCGTCGATTAGGAGAACAAAAAAGCATTGTTATATTGTTTACACTATTAAAATACATATCTATGATTGTGTGTTTAAACTACTGGCCTGAATTCTACAAAAAATATAATTATTTATTTCGATCTCATACATTTATAATTGCGTTAATTTTTACTTTAACAACTGTATCAATAAACTTGTAAAAGTTTAAGTTATCTCCCTTCAGCGAAGCATCTGAAATTTGACTGCCGGTACGCTTTGAAATCAGCCTGGGGAAATGTTGCGGCGACCATCCTGGTCTTCTAGGCGACCGGAAAAAGTCGGCACTATTGATGTAGATGTTTATCGGCGCTTTCCTGTCCCCTTCCAATGAACCTTCCCAACTCTCTACCCCTCACCACACCCTTACTCTTACAATAAGATGTAATGCATAGATTAACGAGCTACTGAACTGTAAACTGACCACTTCTGCACATTTTGTTAAAGACACTAGTCAGTAGTTGTTCATTTACCTGATGAACAGGGGCGGAACTACAGTCCGTCCTGACCCCGCAATGCGCGGGGGGGGGGGGGGGGGTCGGGCCGTTTAGGGGCCCACGGCTGACCAAATTAAATTTTCGTGCATTTTTGCCTTGATATTTGGTTTGTAAAAGAAAAACACTGTAGCTGCGGTACGATTATCTTTATTTTACAGTCACTATACCACGCTCTTCCGCAAAAGATAAAAAAATCCATTACACAAACTACAGTGTAAAATATAGGCAGCTCTTTAAATTTGAATGACTTCTTTGACTCGTTGCCCCCCCCCCTTTGATAGCTAAATAGAGGACACGTAACTGTTTGACCGATCCTCCAAAGTGTACTGTGGCGGATGGGGCAGGGGATGGAGACCAAAAAGGGGGTTCAAAAATTATTGACAATTTTTTTTACATATTTAAAACAGTTATTTATAGTTGTATTTTTTAACCATCGTCAAGGCCCAGTTCTATTTCCCTACAATCAAACACACGCTGTCGCCGGCAAAATTCTTTAAAAAAAACAACAAAGTCCATAGCACGAAAAGCCGTTGCATATGAAGTGGGCTTTCATGATGCGCGGTTCTTCTTTGCGACATTGGTAAGGGACCCGAAAGCCACTGTACATTTTTCAATGTTAATATGTGTTTGTGATAGTGGTTGAATTTGTATCCTGTACTATCTTGTATCCTACAAATAATAAAAAAATAATATAATACTAGAAACTTCAGTTTTATATACATTTACTTGTTTTTGCTTTTACAAGAAATATCATAGTAAACTTTTAAGGCCTATACTTGGAATTATCTTCCCTGAGTAAGTTTTCCAATAGGCAATGCTGACGTACATAGATCGAGGCGTTTTGTTGTCTCTTTCAAGTTTTTTTCCCGAGCCGACCCCTATCCCATCCCTCTTTCTCAACCTCACAAGTATCGAGGAGATAAATGTATCGTTTATGAACTACTTCCTAACCGTACGATTCACCACTTCAGCCCCTTTTTGTCAGACACTAGACAGCACTAGATCTAGTCAACAGATATTAATTTACTTACATAGTATTAGGCACATCTAATTCACAAAACAGGGCAGGTAAGATTATTTTTTATATAATTATTTAGAAATTTATTAGAACGTTTAGAATTAATTGAACATCATTAATAGTAAATTACTATTTATAAATGACGTCATTGAGGTGGTGGTGTGTAAGGGTCTGGCTTTTTGTTAGCCACCTCCTCCCCTAAATCAGAAGGTTATCCAACGCGTGACCTGGCCACATACAGTTGTACATGTGAAAAACATTTTTCTATTATGCATTACTGCATCATTCACCCAATCGCCATGAAAACTTGGGAAGCTGTTGAGTACAGCCCCGCAAAGGTTTCTGACATAGGCAGTGGCGTAGCGAGGTCGGGTGTCACCCGGTGCGGCACTTAATGGTGTCACCCCCCCAGAGGCGTTGCGACCCTTCCCGGGGACAAACTTTCAAGTATTCGATTTGCACCCCCCTCCTCAAACTTTCGATTTGCACCCCCCTCAAGTTTTTGATTTGCACCCCCCCCCCCCCCTCAAACTTTCGATTTGCACCACCCCTCAAGTTTTTCTCTATATATTTTTGCTATGTTTTGCCTTGGTGTCACCCTCCTAAATGGTGTCACCCGGTGCGGTCCGCACCCCCCGCCCCCCGGTGCGCGGACCTTTGACCACAGGTGCTTTGACCATAGGGGGTTTGACCATAGGGGGTTTGACCACAGCGGAGCTTTGACCATAGGGGCTTTGACCATAGGGGGTTTGACCACAGCGGGCCTTTGACCATAGCGGAGCTTTGACCATAGGGGGTTTGATCATAGGGGGTTTGACCATAGGGGGTTTGACCACATGTGTTTTCTCAGCAGAGGGTCTTTGATCACAGGTGGTCTACCAACTGGTGTTTGATCACAAGCGCTGTGTCCGGCTTTGATCATAGGTGTGATACAATTAACACGATTTTACACATGTTTCCTGGGTGTACGTTAATAGAAATTAACATGTATTTAAAAAAAAGACAAGAGCTATATTTTAGTCTCCACATAAAGGCTGGTACTAGGCCTCATAGATTTTATTTTAAATATAAATGAAACACAAATAATGCGACATATAACAAGTTTCACAAATAAATAATGTAGATGTACTTGAAAATACATAGCATATATAAAGGATAAAAGGATAAAAAAATGATACAAAACTTGCCAACAATATAGTCAAAGATGTAATACATAAAATGGTTAATTAAATGACAGATGTGCTATAGCACGCAAATATGTCAGTACATCTGTTTGACCATATGTCTGGACAGCACGTTGTACTTTTTCGTGCAGCATCTTGTATCGCTTCTCAGCTGCGTACACCTTGCAAGGTAGTTGTCTTTTGCCGTGTGCAGTCCATCTGTAGACCTTCAAGGAAACGCCACATTGTTGGGTGACTTCATTGGAGGAGAGACTGAAGACTGTAATGCCATCCTTCACAAATGTTATTTGTTCGTGCTACACCATCGCCAATCGTGTGCATTTGATTCCAAGTTTCAACTGGAAACAAAGCAAGCTTGTACTTTTAGCCACGACCACGGATGCGAAGACCTCGGACACAGCGCTTGTGATCAAACACCAGTTGATAGACCACCTGTGATCAAAGACGATCTGCTGAGAAAACACATGTGGTCAAACCCCCTATGATCAAACCCCCTATGGTCAAAGCACCGCTATGGTCAAAGCCCCGCTGTGGTCAAACCCCCTATGGTCAAAGCCCCTATGGTCAAAGCTCCGCTGTGGTCAAACCCCCTATGGTCAAACCCCCTATGGTCAAAGCACCTGTGGTCAAAGGTCCTAGGACCCGCCCCCCACCCTCGCTACGCCCCTGGTCATAGGCCTAACATTTGTACATATTGGAGTGGGGACTCCTAACGGAAATAAGTTATTTAGCGCCCCGTGATCCTGCATAAGCGGATGTGGTTACTACTTGAATACAACCGGCGGCAGTGTCATCCTGAGCGCAATACATATGAGCAGGTTGGCCCCCACAGACAGTCGTTTAAAAGTTCCTACAACAGTAGGAATAAGTCTCGCTACAACACTCGATGACTAAATCTAATTAGGTGTTGCACCAATGTTTCTTCCAAGATAGACTGTTTTCGAGGGAGGGGAGGAGGTGGAGCTCTGCCGGAAGAAACAATGTGTTGCACTCATCAACCGTGCAGTAATGTAACCGGTAACTCCAAGAGCCCCGTGACTCCCCTGACACCTGGGCCGTCGCCGAGGGACTTACAGCATGCCTTGGCGTGTCTAGTTGGTAGTGTGGACAAACCCGCGCCCTAAGATCCAAGAAATGAACTGTCGACATTATTAACATTTAATTTAACTTCTGGAAAATAGGGCACACGGTTGATAACGTTTTTAATGAAAGCCTCAAAAATCGGCGTCAGTTTGGTGTGTTGGACTAGATTTAGAGAGTCCGTGCTTCTCAGTTGGAAAACTGAAAGGGGCCAGCTTGTGTGTTGGAAAAACTCTGATTTATTCGTGTACCAGATGGAAATTTAAAAAAAAAATTAGAGCGACCCTTGTTGTCCATATATATATATATATATATATATATATATATATATATATATATATATATATATATATATATATATATATATGTATATATATATATATATATATATATATATATATATATATATATAGGGGCCCAAAAAAAATTCTTCGGGGGAGGCCTTTTTTTTCTAGTTCCGCCACTGATAAAATGTATATTTTTTATGCACTTTGACTTCTCATCTTACCAGGACGTGTGAACACCAGGTTTGATCTAGTGTTTGTACTTGACGCCACTTCCAGTGTGTCCAAATCTAACTTTGATCTGATGAACAAATTCATCAAAGATTTCATCTACGAAGACGATATTTACAACGAAAATGTTAGGATTGGTGTTGTCACTAGTAGTAACAGTCATATCCAGTTCCATCTTGACAAGCACAGAACTAAAGATGATATCATCAATGACATAGAAGCTATAGCCTATCCACCAAATGACAACACCAACACGGCAGATGCCATTAGAACAATGAGGACAGACATGTTCACTGAATCAAAAGGGGATCGTTTAGATGTTGATAACATCGCCATAGTACTTACAACTGGTGTTTCCAACAGTCAAATCATTCAGTCAGAATCTGACGCGGCCAGAACACAGGGCATTCACATCTTTGTTGTTGGCATAGGTCTAAGGGACACCACTCAAATGGATGTTATCGCCAATAAACCAGTTGTTGAAAATAGATTTACTGTCAAAGATTTCACACAACTTGAAGACCTTAAAGAAGATATTTTTCCTGCTGTGTGTAAGTTTCTATTTACTGTTTTCACAGATTGGTCGTAGTCTTAGGTTAAGTTAAAAATAATTATTATAAATAAAACCTCAATCATAGAAAGAAAATACACAATTTTTTATACACTCCGCACCATTATAACTGAACCAGTGGGAATGAATTACCGAAAATTTCAAATACGTACTTGATATACATGTTTTGAAGTAGAGATAAATAGGCCTACGATCTAAAATTACCTTTTCCCAACAAAGAATACTTGTCTTATATTAGTAAAAACTGTCAAGGAAAAACGAAGTGAAAGAAAAGATTGTCCGCCAGAACCTGCTGCCGTAATGCTGGACGTCTGGACCAAACCATCTGGTGAGGGCTATTTCGTCTGCTCACTGTCAGAGTTTCTACCAGAAGGTGTGGACATCTTGTTTACATTGCACGTAGAGGGAGAAGTACAAACTGTTAACAAAAAGATTAGTTCTTCCGACAAAGAAGTTTTAATTTCATTTAGAGTTGTTCAGCAAGCTTTGTATAAGAAAAGGGTAAGAAATTTGAAAACTGTGTTTCTGATTGATATAAGAGAAAATATATAAAATTAAAAAGAAGTAGTGAAATGTACAGCTAAGCGTGTTTTAGAAAGATATTTTTTTCACAATTGTTTTCCAGATTTACTGTTCGGCTGTGGTACAAAATGTGACAAGTGGATCAAAGAATTGTCACGAAGAAAGCAGCAATGTTATCACTCCATCTATCATGGTAAGTTACATCTGTAGAGTAATATAACTGTTCTTGTTTTAACGAAACGTTTTTAAACATACAAAATACTTTGATTAAAAAATGGAAGGATATGTATATAACAAACGTTTGGTAGTAATAACGCACGAAGTATTTCTTCTGCTTTTTACAAATTAATGTATTATTTAATACAGTGTCCACAACAAACTACCTTAACATTAGTTGAAGGTCAAGCTCCTGAAAATCTGGCTTTTAAACTGACTGCTCCACCAGAACTTTACTGTACTGGTAGACCAGGAAGTACGTGTGATGTGGAAGTCGTCATAGAGATTATTCCAGGCAGTGATGAACTCAAGTAATTGAGAATTGTATATTAGGCAGAGCAAAAATTGTAGTTAATTTTTTCTCCAAAGTAACGTAAAAGAGGGATGACTCAGTATATTGTCACCATATTGTTATTCTTTTATTCTAGGTGCTCTAAATCTGAAATCATTTCTCAAGTTGTGTTTAAAACTAAAGCATGTCGACTGAAATTTACACCCAATAATTGGAAGGGTGGAATCACTATTCCAGTGAAAGCAACTGAAGACAGAATCATTGATGGAAACAGATTTCTAACCATACAGACCTACATTAAACTCAGTGGTGATGTAAGACACAAATATATAAATTTAATCTTTGCAGAACGAGAATGGTGTGAATTCCTCACTTGTTTAAATAACAGATAAAACTGATATATATATATATATATATATATATATATATATATATATATATATATATATATATATATATATATATATATATATATATATATATATATATATATATGATGCAAAATTTTCTATGTTATTGTGTCAGCGCGTTAGTAGATTCTAGCTTTAACTTAGTCGACACATATATATTTTTATCTCTTCTTTTAGCAAATAATACAGGATAAATGTGCTGACATACAAGCCACTGTTGTTGATAAGGACAGAACCTCTATCTGTTATTCTATCAATGATCCACATATTGCAACTTTTGATAAAATGTAATTTCTTTTTTAAAAAACAAAACAGTTTTAATAAATTATATAAATAGATTTAATAAATTCTATCCCTAGCCGGTAGCCCTAGCTCTAGCCCCCCCCCCCCCACCCTAACAGAGGGTAATGTCGGGGGGGGATTTTTAGAGGGGGGTGGTAATGCCCTGTTCCCAATTATATTGGTTATTTTAAATAAGATTTTGGCATTTAATATGTTAAAATTCTATAAACAGTAACATCATAGGAAAACGAAATTAATAATTATTGTCATAACACAAATATTTTTTTGACTTAACCTACATATTTAATTTTCCAAGGTATTATGACAACCACCTATCAGGTGACTTCATTCTCTACAAACACAAGACACTGCCTTATGAGGTGAAATTTTTATCCTATTTTAACATTAGAAAATAAATTAGCATTTTCTTAATTTAAGTAAACTAATTCAGAACTATAGTTAGTTTCTTCAAAGTTCAGTAGTTTGGAAAAATTATGGCCGCTTGCAAACTTGTAAAGTTAAAATATTTAAATTGTATTTAATACATCAGTAAAAGAATTGTAATACAGTTTATTTCTTGATTAATTTGAGTACATTACAACAGCTAAATGTAAACTAACAGGTTCAGGTAAACTTCCAACCATGTTTATCATCGCCATCTGCCACCTGTAACTGTAAAGCAGCGATACAGTCAGGGGATGATGTCATTGTTTTTACGTGAGTTTTATATTATAACATAAATTAAGAATTGCATATTCACTGCTTGCATTCCCTAAAAGAATAGTGTGCTGTTTTCAATTTAAAAATGTGTTGTAAACTGTAATATATTGGGATTTGTGAGGTCAGGGGAACTCACTCTTCTTGTATTAGTTATATTTATAATGTTGTTATTGAGTGATGTCCCTTGTATATATCTATTGTTACTTCCTGTTCCGGTCTCCATCATGTAGTCGAAGGCCCAATAATATATATATACAAACAGCATGGCTTCTCGTCAGTGTGTTATAATAGAACAACTCCAATCCACCTCAATTGGCGACGAGGATAAATAATCCACTAGAAAGAGCACCTACTTACTCAAAAAGAGGTTTGCTAGAGCATATTGGCTAAGTATTTCTAGAATAATGGCGCTGTATGGCCAAATAAAAGAATTCGATTCGAATGATGAAATCATTCATGATTATCTAGATAGGTTAAGCTTTTACCTTGAAGCTAACGACGTGACGATAGAAGCCAAAAAGAGAGCTGTTTTGTTAACAGTCATAGGGCCTCAACAATTTAGGCTATTAAAGGACTTATGCGCACCAGCTAGTCTAACTACCAAGAGCTTTAACGAGCTGAGCCAATTGCTAACAGACCACCATGCGCCTACCCCATCAAAGTTCCTATGTAGAGCTAGATTTGACAGTAGGACTCGTCAACCAAACGAGTCAATATCAGAATATGTTGCTGCTTTACGTCATTTAAGTAGATTCTGTGAATTCGGAGACACGCTGTCTGACAGACTATGTGAAAAGTTTGTGACAGGTGTAAACAGCCCTGATATTCAAAGAAAGTTGCTGCTCGAGTCAGATCTCACATTGGAAAAAGCAATACAACTTGCGACTTCATTCCAGCAGTCATCCGAGGCGGCGAAATCTCTAACGCCTTCAGAGATCCATGCAGTAAACAGCAGGTTAGTCAACAAACACCAACCCCATCAGAGCATTTCAACTTATGCTAAACAGCCTGCACGTTTAAAGCCTAGATCTAAATCTAGTAATAATTATCAAAAATGTCATCGATGCAAAGGTCCCCATGCATCTCATCGGTGCAAGTTCAAGTCTGCAACTTGTTATAAGTGCATTAAGCAAGGTCACATTGCCAAGGCCTGCTTTGCAAAGTCTTCGTCTGTTGCTAAATCTAGCCAGTCAAGACAGTACCGCAACCAAAGGCAGCACTATGTTAACTCTCACCAAGACTACCTAACCCAACCAATGAACCACTCTACCTGTGAAAATGCTCAAACTGATTCGCAGCCGGATTTCAGCCTGTTCTCTGTGAAATCAATAAGTCATGCTCCCATCAATGTACTAGTTAATATCAACGGTAAGAGCATCAGCTTCCAACTTGACACTGGAGCATCTCTAACAGTCATCACAAAGAAGGACTTTGACGCTGTCACAGGAGGATCAGTGCCTCTACAACCATGTCACAAGTGTCTAACAACATACACTGGTAACAATGTTCCGGTAATAGGAGAGTGTATGGTTCATGTAAGTTATGATGGTCAAAGTGTTAAACTTCCTCTTCTTGTGGTTGAAGGAAATGGACCACCATTACTAGGTAGGAACTGGTTAAGTGATCTTAAGTTATATTGGGAGAGTATATGTTCATTGAACAATGCAAGAGAATCTAGTCTTACTTCAATAGATAAAGTTATATCTGAAAATGAAAGTGTTTTTGGTAATCCTGGATTACTAAATGATAGAACAGTGAAGTTAAGCATTAAAGACACAAATCCAAGATACTGCAAATCTAGAGTTCCACCTTATGCAATGAGGAATAAAATTGAAAATGAGCTAAGTAGATTGGAATCTAATGGCATCATAAAGAAGGTAGACTATTCCGATTGGGCAACGCCCATTGTGCCAGTGTTAAAGAAGGATGGTTCTATAAGAATTTGTGGAGACTATAAAGCTACACTGAATAAACAAATAGAGCTAAATAGGTACCCTATTCCTAACATTGAGGAAATTTCTTTGAATTTGGCAGGAGGAGACAAATTCACTGAATTAGACTTTAGTCATGCTTACACTCAACTAGAACTGCATCCAGATTCAAAAGTCTATACGACAATAAACACTCATAAAGAACTCTACCAATATGAAAGACTATGTTTTGGCATATCATCTAGCCCTGGAATTTTCCAAGCTGTCTTGGACAGTATTTTTAAGGATATTCCAAATGTTTGTGTTTACTTTGACAATGTGTACATAACTGGTAAGAATGACACTGAACATCTTAAAACACTTGATAAAGTCTTGAAAATAGTTGGTGAAAAAGGTTTAAAGATAAACAAAGATAAATGTCAATTCATGCTGACAGAAATTAGTTTTCTTGGTTATATATTAAGCAAGCAAGGTATCAGACCTCAACCTGAGAAAACAAAAGCCATTAAAGAAGCACCCAAACCTGAAGATACCCAACAACTAAGAGCTTTTTTGGGCTTGATAAATTACTATGCAAAGTTCATAGGGAATCTGTCTGGTAAACTATCACCACTGTACAAGCTGCTACAGAAAAATGCAACTTGGCACTGGGGTAAACAACAAGAAGCTGCTTTTAATACAGCAAAAGAAGCTTTGTCTTCTGACACCTTACTAACTCACTATGACCCAGGGAAAAGACTTATTTTAACATGTGATGCTTCACCAGATGGTGTAGGAGCAGTCTTATCCCACATAGATGAAAAGGGTGACAGACCCATTGCTTTTGCCAGTAGATCTTTGAACCAAGCTGAGAAAAATTATTCTCAGTTAGATAGGGAAGGCTTAGGCATCATTTTTGGTGTTAAGAAATTTCATAAGTTTCTGTTTGGTAGGAAGTTCACCATCTTTACAGATCATAAACCATTGCTAGGTTTATTTGGAGAAAACAAAACCCTACCTGAGCATGCCTCACCAAGAATTCAAAGATGGGCTATCGCACTAACTGCATACAATTATGAATTGAAATACAAACCTGGATCTGAGAATAGTGCAGATAGTCTTAGTAGATTACCTTTAAAAAACCAAAGCCTTAGCTATGTACCAGAAGATGTATTTGTTTTCTTCACTATCATGGATAACTCCAATATAAATGTGAATGATATTAAAAGAGAAACACAAAAAGATGAGTGCTTAATAAAAGTATATGAGTACTGTAAGAATGGTTGGCCTGAAGAGTCAGTGAATGATGACTTAAGGCCATATACAATAAGAAAAATGGAATTAAGTCTAAAAGATGGAGAAGATGCAGTCCATTATCAGTCAGAGTTGCCTAAACAAAGTATTTGTAACTTGATAAATGATTATGGTGATATGGCAATTTCAAATGCTTTTAAAGAGAATACATTAGTAAGAAGGAATGTGATCATCAAACAACTTTGCTAACATCATTAGCACTTACAGAAACTAAAAGGGTAACATCAAAAGAAAAAAAAAGATTTTTGCAATTTAATACACCCACTTCAAATACTGGATCACAGTTGCAAATTGATATGGTCCAGGATATTACTTTTAAACAGTATTTTTGGTTACCAACAAGCACTATCAGATTACCTGAGAAAATTGATCTATCAAAGAAATCTATGTCAATTAAGGATCTGAATAATAGCATAATACTTTCAGATGCCAATTCAAAAATAGTTCCATTAAATCATGACAAACATTCATTGAAAGAGAATTTGGTGTTAATGATAATGTGTATCTAAGAAATTATGGGAGAAAGGAAAAATGGATACCAGGTCAAATTGTTCAATGTACAGGACCTGTGTCTTATAAAGTAAAAACAAATGATGGACTTATTGTCCGTAGACATGCAGACCAGTTAAAAATAACTTGTGCAGATAATAAGTGTGAATCTGTCAATCCCACCAAATCTGAACAGTTCACACCAACTCAGTTTGTTCCACAACCAAGTTCTGTTGATATGAGTGAACCAAGTAGTCTGGAGTCAGAAAATGTAAATTCTGGAGTTAATGATTTAAATCCTAGACCTCCTGAGATAGAGAATCCATATGGTCAGAATCTTGAGTCACCAAATCAAAAGCCACTGAGAAGGTCAAACAGGACAATCAAAGTCCCAAATAAGTTAGACCTATGATTTTAAAGGTCAAAAGGACTTTGACATCATTGTGTTGTATCTTAATTATGTTGTAACATATTGTGCATTGTTTGTAAGGATGTAATCTACCATAATGTTCATGTTGCAATATATTGGTGATTTTAAGATACTGTCAATTGTTCTATTGAGAGATGTGTTGTGTTTACTAAGGGTAAAGGGATGTAATATATTGGGATTTGTGAGGTCAGGGGAACTCACTCTTCTTGTATTAGTTATATTTATAATGTTGTTATTGAGTGATGTCCCTTGTATTTATCTATTGTTACTTCCTGTTCCGGTCTCCATCATGTAGTCGAAGGCCCAATAAAATATATATACAAACAGCATGGCTTCTCGTCAGTGTGTTATAATAGAACAACTCCAATCCACCTCATAAACTTGTTATTTTAAACTTTTTTTATAATCTATAAATACAAGACAGATCTAGGGAAAAAAATATTTAAAAAAAATTATAATGAAATAATAATATTTTCGTGTGCAAACACGTAATTATGTATACATGGTAATAAATAAATTTGATGCTATGAGCAATAGGGGTGGAGTCATGCTTAACCTATATTTGAGGTTAATGGAAATAAAACCTCAGCTAAAGGCTATAAAATAATGACCAAAATAAGTAACTATACCCAGGTAAATAGATGAACATCTACCCAGCAAAGTTGTTTAAATTAATCAAAGCAGATTCGACACTCGATTAAATACAAATTACATTTTATAATTTTTTGGACTTTAGTTCCTGTGATACAAGGCAAGGTAAGCAACGCTCAGATGCTGCAGCTCTTGATGTCCAGATTTTTCGCAATGGCGAGCTAACTCCTGGAACTCAGATAAAACAACTTGGTGGAGGTCAACAGTTCGATGTAGGCTATTATTAGATTTATTTAAATCATGATTAATTTCAGTATTTATAAAATTACAATACGCAATCTATAATAAAAAAATTCAGGTAATTTAGTAAAATTGCACATAATTATTTTTTTATCTAAATATGTTTAGACTTTGCATTAATTGGTTAGCATGTGCTTCAGGTACTTCTACCAACAGGAACTGTTGTGTCTGTGATGCCAAGTCAGTTGAACTTCATGAACATCTTTATTAAAGCTTCACCGTCTGACTTTAAACAAACAGAAGGTGATACACATTTTAATTTAACACAGAGTCAGTTTTTTGTTTTAACTTAACTGATGTTGTCATGATTATAATTAATGTTTTTTTTTTTTAAATTAAAATCTGACTTACTTGACTACTTGAATCATAACGTTCCACAGTCCGCTACTATTTTTATAACATCTCAAGACATCCCTGCTGTCTTCAGTCCTTAAAGAAGACTCTGGGCGCTCTCTTTCGCTTTCCTTCGAGGTTCCGCTCAAGCGCCTGGCGTGTCACATTTGAGTGAACCTTTCGCAGTGTGTTTTCCACTCAGAAACACTTCATTTATCTTCCTGACTTGTTCATCTCCATTGGTCTTTATTCTCATGCCACCTCAATTTTAGAATTTGTTTGAATCATTTCTTCATGAAAGTCAATATCTGTCTGTGCATGGCTTGGAGAATCTCCATTATTTTTCTGCTCCATATAGCATCCTGATGACACCCCGCCTTGAAGTGGTATGATGGCCTGTTTGCACTAGTAGCACCCAGAGCTATTCGGTGGGAGCCTCATGTTACTGGCAGGTTTAACCATGCTGGATAGATCCATGTGGGTAGAGGCCAAAGTAAACGTTGTGCCCTGGTCCTGTGTCAGAACCTTCGGGGTCTGAGTTCAAGCTTGCCCGCATCTTCTATGATAGTGGTCTGCATTGAAAGCTCTATTTATGTAGAGCTGATTGGCAGAAGTGGCTACACTTCTGACTTGATCCATGAAAGGCGTGGCGATTTGGTGCCGCTTGGTTTTATTAGGTTCGGGTTTGAGTGTTCTGTCTCTACTTCGACTATATTCTGTACCTTTGTTAATATTGCTATTGCTAGTCCTGTAGATAGGGGCCAGAGTAAGCTTTGTGCCCTGGTCGTGTGGATAGGGGGCCAGAGTAAGCGTTGTGCTCTGGTCCTCAAGATTGGGTTGTGCCATGGTCTAACTACTCGTACACAAAACAATAAAGTATAGTTACAGCAACCAATAATAAAAAGGCTTAGTTAAATATCTTAGCTATACATTCAATACTTTAAATCATGAATAAAGTGTTTACACTATTATTTGAAACTGTTTAATTTCTAACACAAAAATTGCAAAATTTGATGACAAATATTTTTTGTTGCGGTAATTTAAAATATGTAATTTGTATTCACAGGTCTATGTGGTAATTTTAATGGTAGAACAGATGATGATATGAACAGTATGGGTGAAAACACGTTTAATCTAAACTGGAGGTTAATCTATATATTTTTTGCCTAATCGATTTCTTATTTCTTTAAAATAACATAATGTTTTGCAAAAAAAATTAATTATACCCAGTCGAATAGATGAAGTGTTATAAAATATGTTTATCAGAGCCAGTGCAACCATCTACTCTGGTGTACCAGTGGTACCATCACAACAAGATCCTGAACCAGCTACATACAGCAGCTGTACCCAAGGCTTTACACCCATCTCTAAACCAGGACTGGATGTTTCTAGATGTTCATCAGATAGTAAAAAATATTTCTTGAGTGTCCTAAACTAATGTTATAAGTATGACTAAACCTGGCATAGATATTTTTGGATGTATATCTGCAAATGAATAATATTTTCTTGCATGTTCTAAATAACAGGTAATAAAGTAACCTTAAACAATTAAATATTCCTAATTTATGTTTTCAATTTTATTTCACTTCTAGATAATGATATAACAGGTGCCCTTATACGGCAGTCCATGTCAACAGAAAGTAGCAGCAGTGCCCCAGTACCCAGTCCTACACCAGGTTCATCTAGGAAAAGAAGACAAGTTGTTAACACCGCTGTTTGGGTCAGCTGTTTTGTTGTCTATTGCATCTCCATATCTTTTTTAATAACACTAAATACATTTTCGAAGTTTCCAAGTTTCTTTTTTTCTATACGACGGAAATTAATAGGGCCAATTTAGAATAGATAAATTACAATAACTGCATTTTGGTTCATAGACTTGTACTTATTTTGGAATATACTTGCAGTAATTGGATGCCTTCCTTTAAGAATATATATTTTAATAAGGTATATAATGTATATTGGGAGCATTTTCTAAATGGCTCAAATTTGTATAGACCCTCATCTTAATTTTTTCTAAAAAAAACATTGTTATTGGTAAGCACAGGGGACATTTTTTTTTGTTTTTGAATAACTTATAAAGCTATTTATTTACGAATCCTTGTATTAAGAATAGTTTTAAAAAGGTTAGCTGCATTTATTAAGAACCAGTTGTTTTTATAAACAAAAAGGTACTAGTCAAACTATTCTTGAAATGTTTTTGTTTTGATTTACTGAATCATGTAAAAGGAGAATATTTAAATGTAAACAATTAAAATTTTAAAAATGTATTTTTGTATAATTTTAGTGAAACAAAAGATTGTATTTGTCTTTAAAAATAATACTTAAAAACTATAATTAATTAATGCAGATTTTAATACAGTAATATTTTAAGATAAAATAAAATGTTTTATTTAAATCAAAATGTATGCTATCCATCCATAGAACACACATATAGTTAACTACACATTAGCAGAAGCCGAGAGAAACTGTTCAGATTACTTGAAGAATAGCAGTACAGTCAAAGCTTGCACAAATCAACTTTCGGCTGACAGAGTTCAACAGAGTGTCACCAACTGTGCTTATGATCTGGTGGTAAAAAATACATTTCTTTACTTTAAACTAATTTTTAAAGTTAAATTAGTAATTCACTGTAACTGCCAAATAAAAAAATAAGTTTAGGTAAAATTTTAATTGTATTTTAATAAATATCATTTGTTCAGAAAACAGGTTTTTTTGATTGGACTTTGTCACATCTCAGCAGTCTGGCAATGGAGTGTATCACACGAGTTGAACAAAACCAAAGTTCATGGACAGGTGAAGGTGAAACACCTGGTGAACCTGTACTTCCTCAAGCCATTGTCACCCAGCTGTGTGTCAGGGACTGTGGGGACAACGGACAATGTCTCAACTGTAAGACCAATGTTTATTTAATTATGGTCAGTTGAGAGATAGTTAAATAAAATAAAATTTAAAAAAAACATTCGAAATAGCATTATTGGAAATAAGAATTAAATTTAATGTGGACTTAATTTTCTTGTGGTTAAATTAAGGTATATTGTTTTTCTTTTTAGCTTATTGCAGATGTAAGAACGGCTACTTTGGTGAAAGTTGCCAGTTTGGACCCAACACTGTGCCACTAATTTTTGGAGCAGAGAAAACTTGTAATATTCAAGAATCTTCTTGTGAAACAGTCAGGATAGATGGGGATTTTTTCACATCTTCTGATAATCTTGCTTGCCATATAAACTTTGCTGCGGTAAGAAAAAAACAAGTTAAAAAAACTATTCGAACTAGCGACCCATGGCCAGACAAAATAGACTTCAGCTTATTCTATTACACATGGGCTCATGCTGTAGAAAAATAAAGGAACATTTTAATACCTTTTTTTCAAAAAGTTTTGAGAAAAACTGGTATTTACTATTTGTCAATTAATTTCAGAACACTGATAATATAAATAATTGCATTTTTTTCAACTACAGGTGAATACACGTGCAAGAAAAACAGAGAGCAGTGCTGTAGTGAGAGCAGAGTACATCAGCATGTACCAAGTTGGATGTACACTCCCTACACGACGCAGTGCCTACATCACCGTCACAAACGATGGCGTACATCAGAGTGAAAATGTTTACCTTCATGTTGTCCACAACTCCAGCTGTCAGACGTGTGTCATCAATGACAACAAAACTAATGTAGACTGTCACATGATTGTAAGTTAACAAAAAAAACATAAATACTATATAAAATTCAGAATTCCAACAATGATAACCTATACTGTCGTTCTTTGGAATCTTTTTAACATGCTATTTGTGGCTTTTATCTTTGGCAATGAATTTATTATATCTGGCCAAATATTGTTCCCTCTAAGGTCAGAGTTTGAAAGCTTCTATAAAATATTTTATATTCTATAAAATGTTATAGGCATTTTGAATTTGCATTACGTCATCTTTTCGCGTTCACGTCCAAATATACTAATTAATTTATATGTGATTTCTGTTTATGAACATAACCGTATTTTTAATATTAACAAAATGTGTAATTATGCAAATTCCAAAACCTAGACAAATGTGTGTGTGATAGAAGGACAATGTTACTTACAACAGCAAGAAGACTCTGTGGATTCTTGCAACATCTGTAATCTTGATAGCAGCAACACTGTATGGACCAGGAAAACTGGTAACACTTTTGTTTAGTATCACAAACAGTGTTAGTATTATAAAATTATATCTTTAGAAGATTAAAAAAAAGCGATTTCAATGTACATAAGAATACAGACATATATGTTTGAATAGTATTATATGTTTGCATTATTTTGGTTCGCATAATATGTATGTAAAAATTTAGCTAAACAATATAAAAAAGGAACATATTCATCTGTTTCTATCTTCTTGTAGATTCAGCATGCAAGGAAGGCTTGTCTAATGAAGCCATCATTGCCATCAGCGTTGGTTGTGCTGTTTTTGGGTTACTTCTCATCCTAGTCGTCATCATAGTTATCCTTAAGAAAAGGAGGTGAGGATTTAGGCAATTTTTAGAGTTCAATGTAAACATTACAATCAAACTGATATTATATAAAAACGTTTTCAAAATATTTTAGAATTTCTGCTAGATGTAATATCAATTGGTCCAGAATTGTAGTGAGATATCTATTAGAAGGTCTTTGAAGCTCATACTAAAAAATTTTCACAAAATAATATTTTGAGCCGAAACGATTTCAGTCTTTATTTAAAAATTATTAGCTCAAGAGAATTGCAATTATTTATTTAATTTTTGAAAATATGTTTTTTTAAATTAGAAAAAATATAATATCAGTTGGATTTGTTTTATATTCAACAGAACAGGGAAGTCAGCTTAGAATGTTCACCATTGCTATTAAATCTCTGGGCTGGGCTGTTTCTCGTTCTACTACAGTGAAATGAAATCAAAAAGCTTTTCAGCGATTGTTTTAATTTTATTTATTGATTTTTAAAAATATTTTAATTTTGACCAGTTTTAAAAAAAAATAATATTGCTGTATGCAAGAATCATCGTAAACCTTTGTCCTTACAAAGAAAATAAAATCAAAAAGATTTTTCGTGAATTATTTTCATATTTTTATTAAGACGTATGCAATAAAAAATAATAAATATCTATAATAATAGTTTCGCTGTCTGTCTATGTATCTATCTATCATTGTATCTGACAAGAACGCTATAGAGAAAACACAAGCAATTTAAAAACATGCATACTTAAACGAAAGCGAAATATGACGTCATATAGTAGAAAATAATATCAAGCCGGAGAGTGCACACAGTAAAATGACGTCATTGATTCTCGAGTAAACATTGAATAAAAAGGCAATTTTGTCTAATCTTAAAAGTGGTTTGCGTGAAGAGTTTCATTCATACAAATCTTCGGGTAGGGGCGAAGCCCCACTCCCGCGTAAGAACTTCTGAGCCCCCCCCCCCTCCCCAACTCAAAAGAAATTTCTTCATCGATACTCTGTAATAAAATTACCGCCTAATTAATGTGTCTAATCTAAAAAGTGGTTTTCTTGCAATTTCTTTAATGCAATTCTTCGGGTAGTGGCTAAGTGCGACACCAGTGTTTCTTTCAGACTTTTTCCTACCCGGAGGGGGGAATTTTTTCTAATCTAAAAAGTGTGTAGCGTGCAGTTTTTTTTTTTTCAAGCATCTCTTCCGGTAGGGGCGAAGCCCCGCCCAGATTCTTCCTATAGTTTGTATGATCTACAAATGCGACCAGTGTTTCTTTCAGACTTTTTCCTCCCCGGAGAGGGGTGTGGGTATTTGAAATTTTCGGGGGCGGGGGTAGAATTTTCTGGAAGGGGGAGGACACTGGAAAAAGTATATAATTATATTTCGTTGAATGGGACGGTAGACATGTTTTGGAGTGTGTGTGTGTGAGGGGGGGGGAGGGAGGCGAAGCCCCCTCCTCCCAAGTAGAGTTGCCTGAAAGAAACTCTAAGTGCGACTTTTGTCATGAATGAGATTAGGTGCATGGTTTAGGAATAAGCCTATGACTATATTTTGTATAAATTAAAGTACCGAGAAAATAGACAGCAATATCAACCTAGCGCCCGTTGTATCCTTCCTCCATTTTTCTCGTAATATAATAATAATTTTTAAATTGATAATGACAAGTTAAAAATGAAAATGAAAACAAAAATCTTTTTTTTCTTTTTTTACAATTTAAAAAAAAATTAATTTACTGATTTTATTTGGTAAAATGGTTTCATGCCTTTAAAAAGACTATCCTTATATGCTAATTCATAATAAATATAATCAAATAATAATTTTAATAATATATGTGTCTTCTTTTCTTCTTCTTCGTTCTTAATTATTAGTGTTGAAGGGGATCGAGATTTATCTGCCAGTGGGTTTAAACTCGTGACTTTGTTCGAATTTATCAACCATGAGCTTTTAGCCGACTCGACCACGCCTCCATCATAATTTAGCGTTACGTGTCAACTGGTTCAGTGTTTCTTCCAGACTTTTTTCTCCGGGGGGGGGGGGACACTTGAAATCTTCGGGGGGGGCGGTAAACTTTCTTCGGGGGGGGGGGGGGCGGACACTGTTAAAAGTATATATTTTCTATATAAATTATATAAATTCCATTTCGTTCGGGGGGGGGGCGGTAAAAAATTTTCGGGGGGGGGGGGGGTTAAGCCACCCCCCCCCCCCCCAAAGAGATGCCTGAAAGAAACTCTGAACTATGCGCCATTGAGGCCATTGACTCCGATTTCAGCCTGCTTTTCTTTTTGGATTTGCTTCCATAGCCTTTGTCCAACCAAGAACAAACTACAAGGCAGCAGTTGTTTAATTTTGAAGTTGTCTCTCCTAGAGGAGTGGCTGTCCCCAGCTAACGAGCCTCATCTGCCCGAGGGTTCGAACTCGAGACTTTTCGGATTAGCAACCATGAGCTTTACCGACTCCACCACGCTGACCCCTATATATGTGTCTAAATAGCCTCAACTTTTTTATTTGACACTTCAACTTTTAAATAATTACTTGCCCCAAGACAAATTTGCTAAATTATTTAAAATTATGCTTACGCTGAAAACATTTTCTTTTCAGTTATTCTCATCTTTTATTATACCAGTTTTGTTTGTTAACATTAGAGTACCAGGGTACGTACTATTTTGTGCTCTATGCTTAAGGTTTATTTGATACGTAAATGTAGATTGATGTCTAACAAATTCTATATTTATACTGTATTGTAGAGCGATGTGTGAACTGATAGGCGAGGATGGGGGTGGAGGAGAGGCCAAAGAGAGGGACTTTACAATTTTTACATTTGGTGTATTCTTAAAAGTAGGCTATTTGTAATATTATATCATTGATCGATGTACTTGTGTTGACACAGCTCGTGTAATAGGTCTACTTGATATAAAATTACAGCTTTGCCGGCATACTGATTTAACTGCTTTTTATTTTTGATTATGTAGCTGTAAAAAAAAATTAAGAAAAGACGACGGCAATTACCACTTTCCAACTTTTTCCTCGCTGGTAAGAGAGGGGGGGGGGCTACGCTTTCTTTAAAAAAAAAGGTTTTCTAAAATGCCAGTGCAGGGCCTGGTCGGAACGGTTAATAGATTAAATTGAAAAGACTCTAACTAGTGTTAGCGACCGCACCTCCCTCCCACAACAGGAAGTTGCAAGTTATCCTTCACCCACAGAGAAAAATGTCTAAAGAAACACAGTCTATCATGTTAATGCTATTAAGTGATAGCATGCCCTGACATGAAGGTAATGTAACAATGAGCTTGAACCTACAGAGTTTTATCATCAGACTTCCCTATACTCTCTGTACTATGTAGCCTAAGGAATACGCTTAAGGGAATTACAGCAATATAAACTTAATATAAAACATTACATTTTGTATGACATTATTTAACAAAAGCATTGATAAGTTGCTTATCATGTGGATTTTGTTCTTTTTTCCTTATTGACGCGACAAGCACTATGTTCCACATTGGCTAGGGTGTAAACGTTTTTATAGAAAATCTCTCAATACAGTTTCAATATTTAGAAAAGGAGTGCCAATCTTGAATTATTTTTTTTGAGAGATATTTTACTGAGAGTGACAGGAAGGCGGGTGGGTGGGGGGGAGGGGTGTCAGGGGATTCCAGTCTGTTTCCCTCGTGATGCTTTCCTCGCAGTAAAAATGCAATAATGTCCTCTGCCATAGTGAGGGGTGTATAAAAAGGACAGCATGAAGTTTATCAAATTAAACAAAATGTAAGACCCATGTCATAACAGCGTGCATAAAGTGGATATCAATTATCATGCTCATCGTCCTAGAAAAACTTCAAAATTTAGAGATGTAGGCCTATAGTCCTTTTTGGGATAATGGAAGCTATTGTAAAATATCGAACAATATGGAATTTAAGATGGAACAAGTTCAATAAACTGTAAAGATTGTATAATAGTGTTACAATTTATTTTTCCAAAGCTCGTTACATTTTGTCAAGTGTACAAAAATGATGTTAAAAATGGCGTCGTTCTGTACAGAACATCAATATCAATGCGATAGGTTCAATGAAAAATGTTACCATAGACAAATAATCTCAGACAAACTCTAACATTTAGATCTACGAATCCTGCTAGAGGTGAATGGTACATACAAACCCTAAACAGTTGTGACAGCTCACATATAATTTCCTTTACTTTTGTAAATATTAAAAGTAAAATAATATTTTTTGAAACCACATGACTTAGTTCTACTTATGCCATATTTATTTATATTTTCATTGGGAGATTGAAAAAAAAAATGTTTTTGACATTTTTTAAGAAAATTGTTTAGTTACAAAAAATGTTAAAACACAAAATACGTCCAATCTTCAGTCCAACAAAAACCTCACAATCAAGTGATTAGATAACATTTATTTTAGTAAAATAACTGCATACACTTTAAAAAAATATTGAATTGAACATTCGAAACTTTACCCGCAAGCTAAGCAGTCAAAGGGAAATAATAAGCAGAAACATAATTGTTTCTCTACTACTAGACTACTCTAGCCTATGTGCCCACGCAAAAAATGTATCGATTTTTGAAACTCATTGTGTGGTGTATAAGGTGAAGCTAAACACCCCTTCAAACCTGACGGCCCATACAAGGGTCAGCACTCTGCCTAGCCGTTTCTTTTTCTCACGACTCGAGTACAGTAGCCAAAAAATACGTGGACTCTCTGACCAGATAAGGATTCAAACTAGAAAAATTAACCCGAGATCCCAATTATATATAGTTTGTTCTACTATTCGAACACGCCGAACCACTGTCTTGAACAGTTTCCTTCAGGAGTCTCTTCTGGGTAGGGGGGGGGGGGGTTATCCCATTGTTCGCCTCCCCGGAAATTTTAGTCCAACCCCTTTCCCGAAAATTTCAAGTGCACCCCCCCCACCCCGAAGAATAATTTTTTTTTCTTCTCCACTAAATATATGTCAGTGTTTTTAAGACTGCAGCCATCCAATCCCTTAGTGTCTCTAACATAAAAGGACACTAGTTCCGGGTTTTTGTATGTCAACGCATAATACTTTAGAATTCACGACGGAACACTTAAAAAGGAAAGTAAATAAACCGGGAATGATCTCCCCAAAACTTTCTCAAATATTCTTATATAAAACAACCGGGGATGGGAACTCGGACTATAGACATTATTTTTAATCCATTTTAAATACTTAAAGTTTTTAAAATAGAATAAAATCTCGTAGAAAAAAGAACTGCACACAAAGTAAACACCAAATAAAAAAGTGCATAATAGTGCGCAATGTTATTAGTACTTTATAAATTTACATGCGGTTTTTGAGAAATCGGAAATAGCGTAAATTAGTACTTCCGGTCAACGGAAAATACTAAAAATTTGACAGAAGGTAGAGAATTAGATCTTTTACTTACATGTGAAATTTCATTTATCTATCTAAAATAGTATTCAAGTTATAGGCTTTTGAAAAATTCAAAGTAGAAAAAGTACCACTTCCGGTTATCGGAAATCGCTCAAAAGTTGATTCGGATCTACGATTTTGATAAAATACTTACATATGAAATTTCATCAACCTAGCTGTAACTATACTCAAGTTATCGTGTTTCCACACACAGACACACAGACACACAGACACACACACACAGACACACATACGGTTTTTCCGTATCAGTGAGGTGTAACACACATGTGCAATAAAGATTACAGAATAACTGCCAGATTTTAATATTTAATTTTTTTTTATATATGATTGAATAAGAATGTGAATTTAGGGTTTTCCTCCATTGTAATTCGCAGTAGCATGTTGATGAAATTAATTAATTATCCTAAACCATTACCTCAAGGTTTTAAAGTTACCCTTTCGAACTTGGAGGTCCATCAGGTAGATAAAGTAGAGTTTACCGATTTCTGTGACCTCGTTATATGTAGGTATAGTGTTGTCAGTATTATGACCAGCCGCCATTACTTTCCCTAACACGAGTCAGGTACCCATTACGGCTGGGTGGACTCAACATCGTCCTACTGACTCAAGCTCGGGATCCGCACTCGCGACTTACGAGTTAGCAGTCGTGCATTCTACAATCCGACCACGCGGTGATCAGCTTTAGCTTAAACCACATCTTACAAACATCACTGGTCATATTCTCAGTATTTAAAATCTTAACGTTAGTATGCCATACAATAAATCTCAGCTAGGCTAATTTTTGTTTTTCCAGAAAGAATTCACCTATTAATTAAAATCTAGATCTACAGTTTGCGAATCTTTAGCATATAACTTTACGCTGTAGAGTACAGAAAAGAATTACAGAAATCAGACTGCTATGTAGGCTTCGAGGTTAAACATCAACACCCAGTGGTATATTCTGGATGGGGATTGTTAGACCCTACCCCGTCCATAGATCCCCAAAACGACAGCTGTCCCCAGCTATTTTAGGCACTTTAATTTCAAAATTTTGTAAATTACAGGCACATCTTTTCGGGGTGAATATATATATATATATATATATATATATATATATATATATATATATATATATATATATATATATACATATATATATATAGTAGAACAAAATATTTGAATTCGCGAAATAACGGCTAAAACTCGTTTTCTAACATGTTTTTTTATAATGCAAAAAAGTTACATCACGCCATCTGACCCCCCCCCTCCCCCTAATCACACACCGTCACAAAATTATGAACCCCCCCCCCTCCCCCCTACGAGTCTGACGTCATTTATGGACGACCCCTTACTGAGTTCAAAAGCGTTGTCGAATCCCCCAAATCAACATGTGTAGATTGCGTCTTAATTGTCTAACACAGTGGTCTCCATTGACTATCAAATACCAGTTCGGGGGCCTGAGTTTCTTTAAGGCATCTCTTCAGGGTCGTGGCGCCCCCCCCCCCCCCCCCAAGAACCGCCCTCCCCCCCCCCCCCCCCCCCCACGAAATATAATTTATTTAGAAATATATACAAATTTCACCCCCCCCCCCCACCCCACCCGAGGTCCACGTTTGTTCTCAAATTGTTATTCACGTAATACTTTCTTGAAAATGTTTGTTCACACAGCATTTTGTTCGAACATTTGAAAGGTACTTTGATGCAAAAGTTTTAATGTTAGGAAAGTATTCCTTGTGAAAAAACTTATAAAAACCCACCCTTCCTTTCTTTGAACGTGTCTCTAAGGAAGTCATTTTCTTGCAATCCGATGACCTCCAGCTGCAGTTCATCTTTGCAACTGGTTACATTTGCTTCAAATGGGCTTTGAAACAGTCTCACTTCTTCTGCCTTTAAATCCAAGTGAGAAAACCGCTACTAAAACTGCAGCTGGAGGTCTTGAATGATCTCGTATGTAAATGACGCGGGGAACGCAGTGGTTGCTTCAGCCGTAAAAACCTTGCACTGCTAAAAGTGTGTCAAGTTGTTAGCCTGTACTTGTTCTAAAGACATGCCAATTTTGTGTATGAAGGCCTTTAGGTGGGTGTATAGATCAGAAACTAGATTTCCCTCTCTTGCCGTTTTAGGTTCAGAAAATTTAAATGACTAGTTATGTCTGCAAATATGATGCCAATTTCTATACCGACTCTCCATCAGACAATAATGGCTGTGACTTGCCTTTACTATTAGGAAGTAACCTATTTTTTTTCTTAGATACTCTGCTCAGAATTTTCTCGCAAAATTAGCAATCTTGCTGATGTGAAATATGGTAAATCTTGCGATTTTGTGTTTGTCTCTGAACTATCTATGGTTAGATATCCTCTTCGGTAACAGTGTCATACATTATATGTAGGGAAGCCAGCTCTTGTGTTATGTTTATGTCTTCACCCACACCTCTAATGAACACAAGCAGTTGAGAGGTGGAACAGCTGCCCAGCGATTCATCAATTGCAATTGAAAAATGGCGAAACTTGCTTGAATTTTTCGCTATTTGAGCCGCAATGTTTTCACGAATGTCTGCATCACGGCGGGCAATGGTATTTGCACACAAAGCTACATTTTCAAATAGTTTTGAATTTTCTGGGCAAAGTTCCTCAGCCACCTCCAACAAATATTTATTCAGTGGTCAAAAAGGGCCGTAGATTGGAGACCCCTGGTCTAACACACAGAACACGAGGAAAGAGTTTAAAAGATATTGTAGTGTTTTCTGAAATTCACAACAAATAATAAACAAATGTGTATATGCATGTGTATGTGTATGCGTATGCGTATGTGTATGTGTATGTGTATGTGTATGTGTATGTGTATGTGTATGTGTATGTGTATGTGTATGTGTATGTGTATGTGTATGTGTATGTGTATGTGTATGTGTATGTGTATGTGTATGTGTATGTGTATGTGTATGTGTATGTGTATGTGTATGTGTATGTGTATGTGTATGTGTATGTGTATGTGTATGTGTATGTGTATGTGTATGTGTATGTGTATGTGTATGTGTATGTGTATGTGTATGTGTATGTGTATGTGTATGTGTATGTGTGTGTGTGTGTGTATGTGTATGTGTATGTGTATGTGTATGTGTATGTGTATGTGTATGTGTATGTGTATGCGTATGCGTATGCGTATGCGTATGCGTATGCGTATGCGTATGCGTATGTGTATGTGTATGTGTATGTGTATGTGTATGTGTATGTGTATGTGTATGTGTATGTGTATGTGTATGTGTATGTGTATGTGTATGTGTATGTGTATGTGTATGTGTATGTGTATGTGTATGTGTATGTGTATGTGTATGTGTGTGTGTATGTGTATGTGTATGTGTATGTGTATGTGTATGTGTATGTGTATGTGTATGCGTATGCGTATGCGTATGTGTATGTGTATGTGTATGTGTATGTGTATGTGTATGTGTATGTGTATGTGTATGTGTATGTGTATGTGTATGTGTATGTGTATGTGTATGTGTATGTGTATGTGTATGTGTATGTGTATGTGTATGTGTATGTGTATGTGTATGTGTATGTGTATGTGTATGTGTATGTGTATGTGTATGTGTGTATGTGTATGTGTATGTGTGTGTATGTGTATGTGCATGTGCATGTGCATGTGCATGTGTATGTGTATGTGTATGTGTATGTTATGCGTAAAATGCTTTCCTATCTAGAACATATATATATATATATATATATATATATATATATATATATATATATATACGAATTAGTGCATAACAATGTATATTATCTATAACGTCGAATCAGTACGGCATAAAAATGTATATTGTAACACTTTAAAACGAATTATACACATTGGTGGCGTTGCAAAGGATTTCCAAAAAAATGGGCATTCAAATAAGAAACTAAGCACGAATAATTTAATATCCAACTATATTGACTGTAATTGCTTGTCGTAGTACAAAGTAGTTGTATATAAACGACGTCACAAACCGAAGTGTGTACATTTTTTAAGAGGGTGGTTGCGGCGGGTTAGTAGGCGGAGGTGTGAGGACATTTAATGCGGGGCCAAAGTTTTTGTGACGATGTGTGACTATGAGTAAGGGGAGATAAAAATTGTTTAAAAAGCTTGGCGTTGTTTATGAATTATTACCCCTAAATACACATACAAGCTTCTCATAGTACATACATAATGAGCAGGACATTACCTTCGGCAACCCACCGACAATGCCCCAGGAGAAATTTGAGTAAGGGGTTAGAGTTAGGTTTAGGGCTAGGTTTAGGTTTGGAGTTAGGATTGGGGTTTTAGTTAGCTGTAGGGTTTAGGGTTGGGTTTTTGTTCAGGGTTCCTGAGTGGTTGCGGGGGGGTAGGTAATTCACAGGGGCTGGGTAATACAAACACATAAAAACAAAAATTGGAAATTACTGACTTGGGGAAAGATGAGCATATCAATAATTAATACAATGTATGTTTTTAATGCACTTTGACTTCTCATCTCACCAGGACATGTGAACACCAGGTTTGATCTAGTGTTTGTACTTGACGCCACTTCCAGTGTGTCCAAATCTAACTTTGATCTGATGAAGAAATTCATCAAAGATTTCATCTATGAAGACGATATTTACAATGAAAATGTTAGAATTGGTGTTGTCACTAGCAGTAACAGTCATATCCAGTTCCATCTTGATAAGCACAGAACTAAAGATGACATCATCAATGACATAGAAGCTATAGCCTATCCACCAAATGACAACACCAACACAGCAGATGCCATTAGAACAATGAGGACAGACATGTTCACTGAATCAAAAGGGGATCGTTTAGATGTTGATAACATCGCCATAGTACTTACAACTGGTGTCTCCAACAGTCAAATCATTCAGTCAGAATCTGACGCGGCCAGAACAAAGGGCATTCACATCTTTGTTGTTGGCATAGGTCTAAGGGACACCACTCAGTTGGATGTTATCGCCAACAAACCAGTTGACCAAAATAGATTTACTGTCAATGATTTTACAGATCTCGAGGACTTTAAGGAGGACATTTTTCCAGTTGTGTGTAAGTCTTTTTAATGAATAAACATTGTATAGTCGTCATTTCCTAAGCCATAACTAAGTCCATACTGTAGTTGTATTTTTGTGATACATTTAACAAAGATACAGGACCACAAATCGATTCTATAGATGTGTTAAATTACGTCTCTACATAGGCCATTCTAACTTTTCCCAAATGGCAGTGGCGTAGGCAGGGGGGTTAGGGGGGTCATAACCCCCCATATCATTTTTCTCTATATATTTTGCTATTTTTTGCCTTGGTGTCACCCCCCTAAATGGTGTCACCCGGTGCGGTCCGCACCCCCCCCCTCCTCGATACGCCTCTGGCTTTAGCGAGAGTATTGTCGGGCTTTGAATGTGTGTAACGGATGGGAGGTAACTCACAAGTTCTTAGAGCCACCTACCTACCTACTTTGTTTAACTTGAGACGAGCTCTTTTAACTTATTAAATATTTACGCTATGATTCGAGTGGGGGTATTGATAAAGGTGGGGGGGGGGGGATTGATGAGGGCTAGCAGTAAAAGGTGAATAAATATTAAAATGAAAGAAGCGCTTTTTTTTTTCTTAACAAACAGTCAAGGGAAGATTGTTAGCTAAATCTTCATTGAATGAGACATAGTTGCCAGATGAGCAATCATAATGCCAAAATTATATTGTAATGTTAGTTTCAAGACAATTGCTATTACTGGTAAGAATAGAAATTGCTACAGTTTAAGACAATTGCAGTAAAAGATGCTAATGTAATAATGTGGCGAACAAAAGCAATCACATGTCTGTTTAACAACTCAATGTCAACAAATCATAAAACATTTCGCCCACTACCTTACGTATTCATAACTGACATTGATTATTAAGGCTCACACATTCTTTACATTAATGGGGCAAATTATTAACATTAGTGGGGCTCACAAATTGTTTATACTAATGGGGCTTACAAATTATTTACATTAATGGGCTCACAAATTGTTTATACTAATGGGGCTTACAAATTATTTACATTAATGGGCTCACAAATTATTTACATTAATGGGGCTCACAAATTATTTACATTAATGGGCTCACAAATTATTTACATTAATGGGGCTCACAAATTATTTACATTAGTGGGGCTCACAAATTATTTACATTAGTGGGGCTCACAAAATGTTTACATTAATGGGGCTCACAAATTATTTACATTAGTGGGGCTCACAAATTGTTTACATTAATGGGGCTCACAAATTATTTACATTAATGGGGCTTACAGCTTCCGGAGGGGTGATTACTAAAAGTACATAAAAGAAACACCGGTTGATAATATTTTTAGCATAAAAGACAACTTAAATTAACTGTAAATCAAAGGTATTAAAAATGTGATGCATTTTTAGCGCAATTTCCTTACAGGAATTGCGATTATTAACTCGTCATTTCTGGATGGATGTGTGTCCGCAGCTTTAAGTCGTCTTTAAGTCGTATCTCCTCCTCAACGAAGCAATATCGAGGACTAGTTCCAAAGCAAATATGTTAAGCAAGTTCCGAGGATGATTGTGGGCCAAAAAAATTCCCGGAATTCCTTCCTGGATTTCCCGGAAAAGCCTAAAAACCTCGTAAAAAAGCAGTTTTTGGCCCATATCTCGACAACCAGACCACTTAGCGACTTGAAACATCTACCAATCGATTCCTGCCATAATTTAGAACAATATTGCCGAAGAACGTTTGCAAAAATATCCTTTCGTTCGGTCACAAAAAATTAATTAAGGAAATTGCGCTTAAATTGTCACTAGACTTTTTATTAACTTGTTTTCTTATTTGTACCAGATCTAAATCTAGTGCAGGTGAAAGAAAAATGTTATTTTAAACGTGAATCCGTAGTATATTTAATCAAGTATTACGGTTTATTAAAGTATTACATGTTTCAGTAATTTAGTCTTATATTTCTTCTTAATAAATATATTTTTTGCCTATGTGTGAGTGTACGTGTGTGGATGTGTGTGTTCGAGTGAGTGTATTTGCGTGTAATATAAACCATGTGTCACTCACCTAACGTCATGTTCTGCCCCCTGTGTTAAAATTAACCCCTTCCCCATACTCTCACGCCTAGGGTCACAAGTATGTGTGTTGGGGGGGGGGGGGGGGCTGGAGCCAGAGGCGTAGCGACCCTTCCCGGCGCCCGGGGACAAACTTTCGATTTGCACCCCCCCCCCCCCCCTCGAGATTTCGATTTGCACCCCCCCCCCCTCAAACTTTCGATTTGCACCCCCTCTACCTTTCCATTTATTAATCCAACCCATTTTGGCGCCCCCTATGGTCGGCGCCCTGGGACATATGTCCCCCCCGCCACCCCCCCTCGCTACGCTACTGGCTGGAGCGAGTGGATTACCTTCTCCCCCAATCAATACCCCCCCCCCCCCCAAACAACACACACACACACTACTAGTAATCCATATTCCCGACCGTAACTGCGTTAAAAAAAAAAAAAACCTGTCCATTGAAATGTAATATCTCTCTTTTAGTTAATTTTACATCCTGCTGCTACTTTTGCTATAATACACCCCCCCCCCCCACACACACACACAAACACCCTCTGTTTAATAGGCATACAATACGTTTTCCCGCGCACCGTACACGCAAGCCCCGTTGTCGTACTGTCGTTGGCTGGTGCGTGTTGCGTGTGTCACGCGCCATTGATCACCAGTTTTAAAACCTGTTGCGCTTGGGTTCAAATGGTTGCAGTTTTTTTTTTAATGGTGGGGGATTATAAAATCTTGGTTTAAAATTCTTAATGCTGCTGCTTGCAAGCCTATAAATAGACATCAAGTCAAAGGTTATTAGTTCATAAATTGACAGTCTTACAGGTAAATATGGTTAGGCATTAGTCTAGCCTAATAGTTTTTTGCATGTTTTTTTTGTGTAGAGTGCGTACCGCTCGTCTGTATGTCAGTTATTGCTCGTGCAAGCACTTGATGACTTATTCAGAAACGGTGAGTTTAATTGATCAATTACTAATTAGTAGAATTAATATTTTCAATGAAATGTTTCCAATGAGATCGACAATTAGCTTGCAAAATTGTACTGTCGTAGTAATTGGTTATTGATGTGTTCTAGCTAGGATGTTATATAAGATGGTAAAATTGTGTGGGGCCATGTTGTTATATAGGATGGTAAGATTGTGTGGGGTCATGTTGTTATATAGGATGGTAAACTGGCCAAGATTGTGTAGTGGCCATGTTTTTATAGGGGATGGTCAGATGGCCAAGATTGTGTAGTGGCCATGTTTTTATAGGGGATGGTCAGATGGCCAAGATTGTGTAGTGGCCATGTTGTTATAGAGGATGGTAAGATGGCCAAGATTGTGTGGTGCCATGTTGTTATATAGGATGGTCAGATGGCCAAGATTGTGTAGTGGCCATGTTTTTATAGGGGATGGTCAGATGGCCAAGATTGTATAGTGGCCATGTTTTTATAGGGGATGGTCAGATGTCCAAGATTGTGTAGTGGCCATGTTGTTATAGAGGATGGTAAGATGGCCAAGATTGTGTGGTGCCATGTTGTTATATAGGATGGTCAGATGGCCAAGATTGTGTAGTGGCCATGTTTTTATAGGGGATAGTAAGATGGCCAAGATTGTGTAGTGGCCATGTTGTTATATAGGATGGTAAGCTGGCCAAGATTGTGTAGTGGCCAAGTTGTTATAAGGGATGGTAAGATGGCCAAGATTGTGTAGTGGTCATGTTGTTATATAGGATAGTAAACTGGCCAAGATTGTGTAGTGGCCATGTTTTTATAGGGGATGGTCAGATGGCCAAGATTGTGTAGTGGCCATGTTGTTATAGAGGATGGTAAGATGGCCAAGATTGTGTAGTGGCCATGTTGTTATATAGGATGGTAAGATGGCCAAGATTGTGTAGTGGCCATGTTTTTTATAGGGGATGGTAATATGGCCAAGATTGTGTAGTGGCCATGTTGTTATAGTGGATGGTCAGATGGCCAAGATTGCATAGTGGCCATGTTGTTATAGTGGATGGTAAGCTGGCCAAGATTGTGTGGGGCCATGTTGTTATATAATTTGGTAAGCTGGCCAAGATTGTGTGGAGCCATGTTGTTATATAGGATGGTCAGATGGCCAAGGTTGTGTAGTGGCCATGTTGTTATAGGGGATGGTAAGATGGCCAAGGTTGTGTAGTGGCCATGTTGTTATAGGGGATGGTAAGATGGCCAAGATTGTGTAGTGGCCATGTTGTTATAGGGGATGGTAAGCTGGCCAAAATTGTGTAGTGGCCAAGATTGTTTAGTGGATATGTTGTTATAAGGGATGGTAAGCTGGCCAAGATTGTGTAGTGGCCATGTTGTTATAGTGGATGGTAAGATTGCCAAGAATGTGTAGGGGCCATGTTGTTATAGGGGATGGTAAGCTGGCCAAAATTGTGTAGTGGCCAAGATTGTTTAGTGGATATTTTGTTATAAGGGATGGTAAGCTGGCCAAGATTGTGTAGGGGCCATGTTGTTATAGGGGATGGTAAGATGGCCAAGATTGTGTAGGGGCCATGTTATAAGGGATGGTAAGATGGCCAAGATTGTGTAGTGGCCATGTTGTTATAGAGGATGGTAAGCTGGCCAAGATTGTGTGGTGCCATGTTGTTATATAGGATGGTAAGATGGCCAAGATTGTGTAGTGGCCATGTTGTTATATAGGATGGTAAGCTGGCCAAGATTGTGTAGTGGCCATGTTGTTATATAGGATGGTAAGCTGGCCAAGATTGTGTAGTGGCCATGTTGTTATATATGATGGTAAGATGGCCAAGATTGTGTAGTGGCCATGTTGTTATATAGGATGGTAAGCTGGCCAAGATTGTGTAGTGGCCATGTTGTTATAGGGGATGGTAAGCTGGCCAAGATTGTGTAGGGGCCGTGTTGTTATATAATTTGGTAAGCTTGCCAAGATTGTGAATTGGCCAGGAGTTAGTTTATTTGCCAAGTTGTTTAAATCCGCCTGAACCGTTTTTTTTTTCAGTTTTATTTAAACATAAAAAAAAACACTGCATCATTAGATTAATCGCTGTATTTATTTTCTCCACGGGTTCAGTAAGCGAACACGGAAAATGGATTACGATATTCAACAGGTAAATTTTCTTTATAAATAACACTCGTTACTTTTTTAAAAAATATGACCTTGACGTTAGACGGTCAGTCATCCATCTTCTGTGTAAGGAGAATTATGTCAGGGCTGGCAGTGTGTGCATCGCGTCGATATGCGTCTGGCACAGGTTTCGAACTCATGACTTTCAGAATAAGCAATCGCGGCCTGCCGCTAGACCACACCGCTCGATAATACTCCTAGTAATATTAATTGAATCATTTGTTTACAAATCTTATAAAATCAAATTTAAATTTCGATTCAGTAGAATAACAATAGACACTGAGCAGTTTTCAAAAAGAATTTTAATCCAAAAAATGTAATCTAAAAAATTGTAATCCAAAAAATTACTGTTAATTTAATTTAATTAAAAATTAGTTATGCTTAAAAAAAACTTTGTAAAAGCAAAACACTCTAGCTAGCGTTGACAAGGAAGTGTAAACTCAACAGCTCAAAGTCAAAAAAACAGGCTAAGGGTCTCCATAAAGCAATTCAAGTTCTAAATAGAAGTCGTACGCCCACCCTCTTCCTTTTGCAACATTTTAATGTGCGCTCGGTCAGTGTTAAGTAGCTGGATCCATTTTAATTTTAAATGACAAAATCAAATTTTAAAACAAACGCCAAAATAACGGTGAGAACTCAGCGTTTAACGTCACTATTTCTACAGTAGTTACCAGGTCGGGTGTTACCTGGTGCGGTAATTGGTAGTGTCACGACCCCCCTCCTTTCCCCGACCCCCGACGTCCCCCCCCCCACCCCCGACCCCCGTTTCCAAACATTTTGTATTTTCGGTTTGGTGTCACCCCTTTTCACCCTTCCTACTATTTCATTATTTTAATTGGATAAAAAAAAATTGACACTAATTTTTTTTTTCTTTTTGGTGTCTCCCCTCCCCTTTCCCCTCCTTACTATTTCATTATTATATTTGGATAAAAGATTGATTTGACACTAAATTGAACAATTTATCTTTTTTTTATATCACCCCCTTCCCCCTACTACTTACTATTTCATTATTTAAATTGGATAAAAGATTGTTTTCACACTAAAGTGAACAATTTTTTGGTTTGGTGTCACCCCCTTCCCTCCTTCTATTTCATTATTTTAATTGGATAAAAGATTGTTTTCACACTAAATTGAACCATTTTCCGGCCTTGGCGTTTACCACATTTACGGACGACCCTAAAGTAAAGCGCTGTGTTATCTCCAGCCAACAGTGGTCCAGCAGCCGACAGCAACACAGCAGACGACATCCATGAACACCATCCACATCCAGACGACGCCAGCCTTCGCGCCCGTCAAGCCTCCCAGAAACTGGAGCTCTGGAATCTGCTCGTGCTGTGATGACTGCGGCATCTGTATGTACTGTGTTTCTTTCAGGCATTTTTCTCAGACCGGGGTTGGGGGGGGGGGACTACGGTTAAAATGTATATTTTTTTAATATAACTAACTTTTTTTTAGCGCAATTTCCATTCTGGAGAATTGCGTTTATTAACCCGTCATTTCTGGATGTATGAATGAATGGATGGATGGATGGATGTGTGTCCGCAGCTTTAAGTCGTATCTCCTCCTCAACGAAGCAATATCGATGACTAGTTCCAAAAGCAATTATGTTAAGCAAGTTACGAGGATGAGCATAGGCCATAAAAATTCCAGGTTTCTTTCATGTATTTCCCGGAAAAGCCAAAAAACCTCGAAAAAAGGCAGTTTTTTTGCCCATATCTCGGCAATCAGACCACTTAGCGACTTGAAACATGTACCAATCGATTCCTGCCATAATTTAGAACAATATTGCCGAAGAAAGTTTTCAAAAATATCCTCTCGTTCGGGCACAAATTTTAAAATTACATAAACACCTACAAACCAATCGTTCTTCTAGCTTGAACGCACCCCAGCATTATACGTCAGAGCTATTTTTAGATAACATAAGGAAATTGCGCATAAATGTCACTAGACTTTTTTGATTAACTTGTTTCTTCTTTGGGGTGGGGGGGGTGAACGTGGCAATCAGGGAGTGGGGGAGGGGTGTTGTGCCCCGACCCCACGGAGAAATGCCTGAAAGAAACACTGGCAGAGAATGGAGATCTGTCAAACTCTGCACAAGGAATCACGTCTACATCACAGTTCTCAATACCACGCAAAGAAACTCTTATTATACTAGATACCCGCTAGGTAGTGTGTCACTCCTAAAGCACTCCCGTTATTCCTTCGCAAAAAAAATGTATAGGCAAGAGGGCTTCGTTGGCGTGATGAGGTTAACTATGTAAAGGCGTGAAATTCATTGGGCTCCGTAATAAACATGTAATCATATTATTTATAGTTATTAAGCAACCGACATAAACGCCTAGCTGGTGTGACTATAATAGATTTTGAGTTGTAAACTTAAAGACAAACGGACAAGCTATTAATAGAAACAATGCTATAGGTGGTATCAAAATAGACATTGTTGACAACACCGGGCGTACAGCTGGGTGGGTCTGGCTCAGTTCCCCCCCCCCCCCCCCCCCCCCCGAAGAAAGTCTACCACCCCCCTCCCCCCCCCCCCTTCTCCGAGAACGAGATGGAATTTATACGGTAAACATATACTTTTACTTTTGTCCGCTCCCCCCCCCCCCCACCGAAAATGTAGTCCGCCGCCACCCCCCCCCCCCCCCCGCCCCCCCCTCCGAATATATCAAGTGCCCCCCCCCCCCCCCCCCTCGGAGAAAAAAAGTTTGGAAGAAAACACTGGTCTGGGGGTGTATATAAGCAGCGATACTTTTGGGTATGTGTGGATGATGGAACGATCGCAGGCAGGGAAAGATCGGGCGCTGGAATGGAGAGAGATTGAGAATGGATTGAACGCAGAGACAAGTGTTAATAGAGCGTGAGAGACGGAGTGATATAGTGTGTGGACCAGTGTTTCTCCCAGACTTTATTCTCCGGGGGGGGGGGGGCACTTGAAATTTTCGGGGGGGGGGGGAGGGGCGGTCAACATTTTTATTTGGGGGGGGGGGGGCGGACACTACTAAAAGTGTATGTTTATTACATAAAATCCATCGCGTTCTGGGGGTGATAGACTTTCTTCGAAGAGATGCCTGTAAGAAACTCTGGTGAGGATTTGTGACAGTGGAGGTCTGTTGAGATTCACCTAATTATCTGAACTGTGATTATTCATGAAGAAATAAAGTATTGGAGTCTCGAACCTGCGGTCAGAGCGTGCTTCTTTATATCAGGTGGGTGGATCGGTGCTAAATGAGGTGTCCGCGGGCGAATACCTACAGACAGGTGGTTATACGCCTCTGTATTAACAATTGAAGAATGAAGCGGCTGTTATGTCATTAATTATGATCCTCTCCCCTCCCTCCCCTCTTTCTTTAACGCAGGTCTCTGTGGCACCTTCTGCCATTGTTGCCTGCAGTCGCAGAACGCCGCCGACCTGGGCGAGTCCTGTTGTCTGTTCTGCTGCGTCCCCGGGGCGGGGACAGCCCTGAGGGTCAAGTTAAGGATGCAGGAAAATATAACAGTAAGTGACAGAGAAGCAGAGGCGTAGCAGGGGGGGGGGCGGGGGTGCGGACTGCACCGGGTGACACCATTTAGGGGGTGACACCAAGGCAAAAAATAGTAAAAATATATAGAGAAAAATTTGAGGGGGGGGGGGTGCAAATCGAAAGTTCGAGGGTTGAGGGGGGGGTGCAAATCGAAAATTGAAAGTTTGTCCCCGGGAAGAGTCGCTACGCCTCTGGGGGGGGGGGGGGGGTGACACCATTAAGTGCCGCACCGGGTGACACCCGACCTCGCTACGCCACTGCAGAGAAGTAGTGATGGTAGGGGTGTCTGTGAGGTGTGCTTGCTGGAAATATTCAGGAGGAGTAAGATATATATTTGTAGGATTATGCTGATGATGGTACAAAATGAAATGTGTGCGGTATACTAGGGAGGGGGAGCATAGGGTAGGTAGACGGAGAGAGGGTGAGGGTGAGTAGGAGTTAACATTTGTGATGATATAATACATTATTTTTGTTCTCTGTAAATTGTAACGTTGGAAATGATTTCCTGCCATATTGAAACCTACAAGACAGGACTTGTTTTGATTTTGGAGTTTTCTCTCCTGGATGAAATTGTTATCGAGCCTCATTTACCAGTGGGTTCGAACTCTGGACTTTTTGGTTTACCAACACTCCTGAGCTTTACCGTCTCAACGACGCCGACCAATATAAAAAAAACAACTAAAAAAGCAGGATCAGAGGCGTATCGAGAGGGGGGGGGGATATATAAGTCCCCGGGCAACGACCCTAGAGGGCGCCAGAATGGGTTGGAAAAAAAATTAAAAGCTCATTTTAGCTGCAGTTTTGCATTATAAATATGAAAAATTTCCGCGGGGGGGGGGGGGGGGGGAGGGAGGGAGGGCGCCAAATTGAAAAGTTTGTCCCCGGGCACCATGAAGGGTCGCTACGCCTCTGAGCAAGCAAGATGGTGTTCCAGATTATTAGCAACGAGCCGACCCGCGGCGTATCATACTCCGCTATTTAATTGTTTTTTTTTTTACTTTTCAGTAATTCATAATTTGTGAATTCGACAGTACCAATGCTGCCACTGAAAATATTTGCTTTAAAACACTAACCCCCACCCCCTCCCCCCCCCCCCCCTTTTCCCCCAACACCCCCCCCCCCTCTCCCCGTGAAAGCAGCCTCCACTTAAATACCTCCTGTAAGTTTAAAATCGTTTCAAACTAAATTATCTGCCCCTAATAGCCGTCACTAAACTCAACTCCACGAATGTAAACATAGCGTGAACCACAGCTCACCAGACCATGTAGGGGTGGGGTGGTAGGGAGCGCGCTTACAGCTTGTTTTCTAGCGTCTCCCAGAAAAGAATTATATATATAGATTATTGTAAAATTTCAGTGGAAAAAAAAGAAGTAAAGGTGAAGTAGAGTTTGTTTCCTTGACCTCAGGGTAATAGTAATATCAAATGTAGGGGTGAATCCAGGAGCGTCATACTGGAACAAGCTGTGGATTTGATCTCGAGACTTTCGGTCGCAGTCGTGCTCTCTATCGCCCGACCACGCCATCCCATATATATATATATATATATACATATATATATATACATATAAATATAAATATATATACATATATATATATATATATATATATATATATATATATATATATATATATATATATATATATATATATATATATATATATATATATATATATATAGTTCAGCACCTAATGTCTAATGTTGTGTTCCCCGATAGGGATCAATCTGTAACGACTGCCTGCTGGAAACGTTCTGTGCCCAGTGTTCGACGTGTCAGCTAGCCAGAGAACTGAAGATAGTCAGACAGTACCGAACGATGAGTAGCGGAATGACAGACCAAGGGGCGGTGACTGTGTCCATAAACTCTTACGATCAACAGACAATGCAATATTAAAGAAAAAATCTTTACAAAGGGCGGTAACCATAAACTCGTTACTGACACGTTTGATTTTTTTTTTAATTGGTACAAAAAAAATCATAAAAAACTTTTTAATAACAAGCTTTTATGTAATAATGCACTAAAAAGTAGAAAATAAATTATACACTACTATTTAAATTACTATAAAGAAAAGCGTGGGTCACTTTAGTATCTATTGGATACCTTTACTAATATTTAGGAAGAGAACCACGCTTTTCTTTATTGTAATTTAAATTGTAGTGTATCATTTATTTTCTACTTTTTAGTGCATTATTACATAAAAGCTTGTTGTTTAAAACGTTTTTTAAAAAATATTTTTACATTACTAATAAAAGCTTGTTATTAAAACGTTTTTTTTTTTAGATTTTTTTTTTTTTGCGCAGCTATTGGTCGTGATGATGCGCTTTTGCCGTGATAACGCATGTGGATAGAACTGCCTACTAATTTGGTCAAAATTTTAATTAAACCACAGAAAATTAATCAGGCGACCAATCAAATAAAATTTTAATGTCACGATGCATTGTCTTCATGTCTTGACCCACGTACCAATTACGAACCGTATCTGTCAGTTAGAGGTACCTGCAATTTCGCTCGGGCGTTTCGATCTAGACAGACAGACAGACTGACGAAAGAGGAAGTGAGTTAAATAAAAGCTTGTAAAAAATCATGAATTAATTGGAAGATATTCTGACACTTTGAACTAATGCAAATTTTCGTCAGATCTTAAGGGCGACAACTATGTAATAAATTGTTTAAAGTTGCTTTAGTTATAGTAGAAATACGTTGTATGTTGCTTTTTTTTTTCTACATCAAAACTTAATAAATATTTTTGTTTTAATTATGATAGTGTATGTTTTTGTTCTATAAAATTTTAATTAGTAAAGAATAGTACTTGTTTAGTTGAAAGAAGTAGGACTACTCATACTTGTAGGTCTTGATTTTCGGATATATATATATATATATATAGTATATATAATATATATATATATATATATATATATATATATATATATATATATATATATATATATATATTTAAGCTATACATATACATACACACATATACGCATATACACATATACACATAGATATATATATAGGCCTATACATACATATATACATGCATATATATATATATATATATATATATATATATATATATATATATATATATATATATATATATATATATATATATATATATATATATATATATATATTGTATTTATAATAAGTAGTAATAAATAATATTTATAAGAAGTAGGACTACTCATAGTTGTAGGTCTTGATTTTCGGATATGTATATATATATATATATATATATATATATATATATATATATAGGCTATACATATACATACACACATATACGCATATACACATATACACATAGACATATATAGGTCTATACATACATATATACATATATATATATATATATATATATATATATATATATATATATATATATATATATATATATATATATATATATATATATATATATATATATATATATTTATATTTATATATATATATATATATATATATATATATATATATATATATATATATATATATATATATATTATATATATAGATATATATATATATATATATATATAGACATATTCATATACACATATATATATATATATATATATATATATATATATATATATATATATATATATATATATATATATGTATATATATATACATATTCATATACACACACACACACACATATATATATATAAATATATATATATATATAGATATATATATATATATATATATATATATATATATATATATATATATATATATATATATATATATATATATATATATATATATATATATATTGTATTTATAATGGAATTAATGTATTCAGAGCATCATGCGACAAGGGTGTTGCTATAATAATTAAAGGGGACCAGTGGTAAAGCGTCAGACTGCTAGCGCGAAAGGCTAGAGTCCATAGGACGCTCTGAGCCCACCCAGCTCTCATTATGCCAAGATCTTCGAAACATCTGCCCTTGGTGTCTTGGTCGCAGATGATGATGATAGTAAATAAAATAACTAGCTACTTGCAGCAATGGTTTAAGGGATATAAAGGCCACAGGGCCCCTTAGAAATGTTTAGTCATGGGCCCCATCCAAGCCTCATCCGCTAAAGCGTATATGCGTATTCGTTATAGAGTTGATCGTTAGATGTGTTTGAAAAGGCTCAACGCCCTTAGTAAATAGCGGGTCAGTTTGATTTTAACGTAGTATTAGAAAAAAATTTTGAGCATGGGAGGTAAGAATGTCCTGCATAACTTAATATTTAATATTCAATGTTATGTCCCCTAGACCAATACAATTTTCGAGAAAGAGAAATAACTGGTTTGAGGTCAGACAGTTTAAATAACACAGTTTCATGGACAGAATAAATGTGTATGTGTGTATGTTTATTAAACTATTTTAAATATTCTTGCTGTGTGTTCTTTGTTTAAAATTTATTTTACGCGTATTTATTGTTTTGCTTTTTTTCAAAGATAGATTTTTAAGCAAAAAAAAACTTTTTATCAAAACAACTTTTTAATGGACTTGTTTATTGTTTTTTAACGTTTTTTTTACGGGTTACCTCCCTTTATCTACTATTGCCATGACTCATAACATTACGAATATTATTGGTAATAAGATTCAGCAAACTTTTCATCTTTTTATTTTAACATCATGTTACGTGTAATGGGTCATTAGTGTTTTGGTTTTTTAAAAATTCCTTTACTTAAATAACCAATTCGACGTGTCGTTTTGTTATTACCGTATATAGTAATTTGTAATGAGACGTGAGTGTGTACGCATCGTTTATCGGGCTTGTGTGGTAACAAAATGTACTACTAGTCGTAAAGGGGCCCTTTTTCTTTGTTTCCCTATCTACCCCTGCTTGGACCCTGCTATATGCTGGGTCAGGTGTAGTAGGGACCTTGTGTAATGTCCTAGTCTAGTGAAACAAGAGCATACTTCAACAGGGCATGAGTTTCAATATCTATATATATATATATATATATATATATATATATATATATATATATATATATATATATATATATATATATATATATATAATTCTCTTCTGGGAGACGTTAGAAAACAAGCTGTAAGCGCGCCGAGCAGTCCCCTCTTTTCCTCTCTAGGCATATCGCAACAACACCCACCCCTACATGGTCTGGTGAGCTGTAGTTCACGCTAAATGTTTACAATCGTAGAGCCGGGTTTAGTGACGGCTATTAGGGGCAGATAATTGAGTTTAAAACTATTTTATACTTAGGGGAAGTAACTAAGTGGAGGCTGCTTTCACGTGGGTGGGGGTGGGGGTGGGGGGGGGGGGGTAGGGGTTGGGGGAAAGGAGGGTTTTAGTGTTTTAAAGCAAATATTTTCAGTGGCAGCATTGGTACTGTCGAATTCACAAATTATGAATTACTGAAAAGTAGAAAATAAAACAACTAAATAGTGGCGTATGATATGCCGCGGGTCGGCTCGTTTAAAAATAAAATAACTCGTTCTACTGTACCGCACAGTGATGTTTAAAATGTGTTCAACTTCACAACTTTACACAGTAAACAGAGGAATATTATGTACTCATGGTAATGAAGTTGCTGTACAGGGGCCCTTGTGTAGGCTATCTCGGCCCCGTTTTAAAGGGGTCCCAGTATACCGGGGCCTTGCTTTGTTTGGGGCCTTAGTTTGTACGGGGCCTAGCCTGGCTAAAGGTGAACACGATCATACTTTTACTAGGGTCGACTTTAAAACACGTTCGTACAAAAACAGCATTCAGTTACGAATTAGATGGTATAATATTCAATAAAGAACTGGATTGCTAACTAGGTAGCAAATTGAAGGCTCATTTAGTCACAAATTAGAGGGCACACCCCATAACAAACTGAGGGCACATTGAGTTTCTTTCTGACCTTTTTTTCTGTGGCGTGGGGGTGGGGGGTCTCTTGAAATGTCGGACAGTGGTAAAAATATATACTTTCAACATAAAGTAATTTTGGTTTCTAATTCAAAAGAGAGGGGGTGATGAATGTGGTTCGTGTGGTGGGAGGATCTGCAAGCCTCATCTCCCCCCCCCCCCCCCGCCACCCCACGCCATTCCCACCCCAACCCCGAGAGATGCCTGACAGAAATACTGTAAATAAGCTAACACAGCTGAATTACACTTTCCCTCTTTTAAACATATCTCAGGTCCTTTGTGTGAAGTAACTTATATGGGGTAGAAACACATTCAAACAAGTCAGAATACATGTGCACGATCCATAATGAAATAATAGCTTATTTATTTCAAATATGCCACTTTGCTAAAAACAACATATACGCCCAAATCCTTCCCCTCTTATATTTATTTAAATTTCCAAGCGTATGTGTACCCAAAAAAAAAATACTTTGGTACGTATTTTTCCCAACGCTACACAAAACTCTTCAACTGAGCTTATTACTAGCTGTGTATCACTATCAGGAGGTTAAATTTTTCCACTGGTTCGTTTCGCCACCTTTTTGCCGCTGTTGTTTTTTTAAAAACAACCACAAAAGAACTAGGTCAGGGAGATCTGCCTTACGCGTTATGACGTTAGTGTTTTTTTTTTTTCCTTGTCTTTGTATTTTTTTCAACGATATTAAAAAGCGCAAGACTGTTGCAATTACATTCATATAATTAAAAAAATTAAAAAAAAAAAAAAACAGAAAAAATAAAATTATTTTTTTTCTTTAACCTGGTTCAAACGTGCAAAACATACTGTTATTTAATTCTTTTGAAGAAGGAAGGTCAACATGCTTGCGTCAATATCTAGGACTGTGAATGTAACGGCATGTTCGTTTGTTGTTTCAGGGACACCCACGTACGAATGGTCAGATTACATGGGGGTGGAGCTCTGGGGGCGGGGCAGTTTGGGCACACCCAGAGGGGTGAGAAAGTATTTCACGCCGCGCGGATTAAATTAGGATTATTGTCAAGTCCTGGTGATTATATGTAAACTGTTGTCGTCATGGTGATTATATGTAATCTGTTGTCGTCATGGTGATTATATGTGATTAATTGTCAAGTCA